AAGATAACCTGCAAACCTTATAAACCCTGGTTGCCCTCAACAAGATCAAGCTAAGCACCCTATAATCTAAATAAGCCCGATGTCAAGGATCACCCTCGAGATGAAGGTTGCCGTGAACAAGATCAAGAAGCTGCTTCTCGGCTGGCCACCCAAGATAATCAACAGCTTTACGCGGCAGGAGAACCATGAACACTGTAAGCCTTCAAGATTATATGCCTTCCTATATATGGCCCAAATTATAACGGAGCTGTCCATGAACTCCATACAAACCCTGCTAACCCTAAACACCCTATCCCTGAAACACAAAACTTCCGGTGCCTTACACCATATCCATCCAGGCTAGTGGATTCCTGGGAGCTCGACAACCGTGCCAGGACGCCGGCTACGTGTCAGTGCAACATAAACACGCACACACGCATGCATATATAAACTTACATATATATATATATATATATATATACACATACAACATATATATATACATATATATACACACACATATATATATACACACACATCTTGCATGCACGCTCACAGAAATGTGCCTAGGCATGTATCTATACATTTATATATATATATATATATATATGTATGTATGTATGTATATATATATATATATATATGTATATATATATATGCCATACACACAGGCACACGTGCACACATGCATACATGTACATGCGAGCATCCCAATCGAGACCTTTGTGCAGGACGCTGCTTCCGGTGGAGGAGCAGAAGCCAGAGGCAGAGGAGAAACCGGCACCCAAGGCGAAGGCGAAGGGCAAGAGAACGCCGGTTCTGGCTGGTGGCTCCACAAAGAAGCCCAGGACAAAGTAGATGCTAAGAGCTCGGCCCGGGGATACATGATCATATGTTTACTGCATGCGGCATCTGCAAACAAGGTCAGCTTTCGGGGGTCCTTCGAGCTCTTGGCATGACCTAGGATGCTCGAGCACTCGTGTGCGAAACAACGCCTGGCATGACCTAGGATGCTCGAGCACTCGGGTGCGAAACAACTCCTGGCATGACCTAGGATGCTGGATCACGCGGACCTTCGGCTGCGACGTTTTTTAAAAAGGGGTTCATGCAGTATATACCGTTCTGATTGAATGATGTCGTTTCCTTATCAAGCCGGTTTGTGTTGCAATGCCAGGCAGAGACGAATCCCAGAAGACGGAGGCCGTTGAGGCACTCGCACAGAGTGTCGTGGATGGGGTCTCCAGGCTAAACCCTTTTAAGCCCTGAACCCTTATAAACCCCAAGGGCTTATAAACCCTATATATAGTTGTATAAACCCTGTAATAAACCCCACCTAAGAACGGCATCCCTACATAATTGCTACACAGTCGATCCAATTATCTCATTCTTTCAAAACCCAATAACTTATATACATATGTATTATATACACACCAAATTCAATTAACCCTTATAACCTTAAAAACCCTATACGCTGGACGGTTCGATTGCACGCAATGTCCTTCCCGGGCAGCCTTTATATAGTCGCTATATCTATAATAAACCCAACTGTGTAGTACCCTTGTAAGCCCAGCCCATCATGCCCTTTCGTGGATGGTTCGAGTGCACACAATTGCTTTTTCGGGGATTGATCCTGATCCAATCTATGCCTCCCCAATAAAGCTCTATACATAAACGACCTGCAATTAAGACCAGTTCGATTGCACGCTGATTGCTTCATAGTATACTGATCGCGGGGCATCACAGGGCGACGAACATTACTCAGGTTTGGGGCTTTTCCATTGTTTGTATATATATATATATGTATGTATGTATATGTATATTAGTTCTAGATTGTCTTTTGCCCGATCAGCCCCGAATTCTGATATGCAGGTACCATTAATCATACGCTAAATTAAGCAGTTCAGGAAACCCCAGCCCCATGCAGCATGCACACTCTTTATGTGTGTACAGCTATGTGCCTCAAATATTACGTATGCCCCTAAACCATGACTTTACTTTCGAGCCATCCAAGGCTCCGGCTGCTGACATTGGCCGCATAGCTCGTGCTTTCACTGCTGATCTGGGCAACGCCTCAGGCTGCAGCTCCATAGGGCAAGCATGCAAGGTTGGTAAGTCCAATGGTGAAAGGGATTCTCAGAGGCTGTTTCAGCGGTTTCATTTGAGACTACGTGTTCCGATATCGGAGTTGCACCATGATGATGCTGATGGGGGGCCGGTCAATCTTCCTTACATCAAAATCAAGGACTTCTTTGGGTTCCTACTGAAGACTCACCCGAAGCTTTTGTACGGTGGTTTTGACCTCGGGCCCGAACAAGAGAATCTTTGCATGCAGTTTTGGCAAGGCTACCGTCTGTACCATCCGGAGCACGAAATCTTTAGCACCTTCACTGAAGATGAGAGGAAACGGATCCTACCGGTAGCTTTACACGGGGATAAGGGGCGAACTTTGGCTAAGCAACCAATCTACTGCTTCGGATGGGAGACGGCATTCGGATTGCCGCTGCATTGCCGTATGGCGGCAGCAAAATCTGCTGCTCCCCCTCGCCACGAAACCGGCGGGAAACTCAACCAGAGCTGCAGTGAAAGGGCCCAGGCCTTACACAATCCCGAAATCCTAGATGATGCTGAGTGTCCCCGGAAACGTAGGAGAGTCGGTCCCTCGCTGCCATACAAGACTTCAAGCATACCTCACAACCTCAAGGGCCACGTGTATCTGAGTCACTGGCTCGGCACTTGCATTCCGTCGAGAGTCTTCAAAGCCCATCCAGGCCTCATAGATGCATACTTGGAGGAAGTTGCCAGAGAGATGACCGATTTGTTTCACGCGGGTGTGCTGCACGGTGGTTCCACTTACCGCTGTGCGGTCATAGGGGTGAAGGGCGACTTAGAGTTCTTCCTAGAAACCGCCTACCTGAACCGATCCTATCAAAATATAGGAACTACCGTGACTTATCCCTTTTGTCCAGATTGCAAAGCAGGGTTTCCAGGAATCCCTGGAATCGACACTCGGGACACTCCGGGCTGGAGAAGCACTTTATATAGTGATGAGCCCTGGGACGAGTTGCCGATTTTGAATCGGATTCCGTTTGCATCCACGAAGAGAGCCGCTTTGTACAGGAAGGATGTTTTCCACACTTGCAAATTCGGATTCCTGAAGGATTTGAATGCAGGTATCCTCATGCTCTTGTGCGAGATGAAGTATCTAGATAACCCCGGGGATCCTTGGTCTATGAACGCCAGACTATCCCGAGCCTTCGGCCTGTTCAAACTTTGGTTGTCAGCCTCGAAGAAGAGCTCTGGACTCAGGAAGTTTTCCAAGCTTTCATTCCATCGGGACAAGGCTACCAAATACCCGTTCATGAGTGGCAAAGGGTCAGATTCGGTGGTAGTCTTAGAGTTCCTGGAATGGCTTTTGCGACTGAAGCTTCGGTCTCCAAAGGAGGCCAGCCACACGCTGGTTTTGTCTGCGATGTTGGAGGCCGTGCAAGGAGCCTTGTGTTTCATCGGAACGTACCACTCGCACGGTTGTTTTTACTCTCCTCCTTGTGCGAAATTCTCGATCGCATCTGGGCTTCGCCTTTTCAGGGGCTACGTGTTCTTGGCCAACAAGTGCATACGAGATAAGAAGCGGTATTTCTCCTTGAAGCCCAAAGTCCACTACTTCCATCACGTGTTGGTGGACATGCAAGATCAGGTTGATTTAAGCCACGAGGTCATTTTTAATGCTGCCGCAGTTTTCAATGCTGAAGGGAATGAGGACTTCATAGGCAAAGTCTCCAGGATCTCGAGGAGGGTCTCACCAAAAAAAGCTACCCGAAGGAGTATCGAACACTACCTTGTTGCTTTGAGACTCCTTTACAAGAAGTCCGGGCTTTAAGATGCGACTATCCAATAAATACGGGTTCCATGCACTTCCTATCTTTCCGATACCATGTGTACCTCAAGTTGTTCAGGCTATAATTTAGCTAGGGGTCTATTTAAAGGTTCGTCTACATCTAGAAGTCCGGGCGCCCGGCAGCTGGCAAATCAACGCTCGTGCTCGCCATCCACCAGGGATGAGGGTTATATAGGGTGGAGTTTCAAAGCTTATATGGGCTTGATCGAGGGTTTAATTAATTATGTATAGTATATACGGTTTACAGGGATGGAGGATATGATAGGTTGCTATAAAAGAACTATGTAAATTGTGCATATATATAAAGAGAGATGCATAGGTACTTTTAGCACTCGCTCTCGACAAGCAGGCACGTGGTTGTATACATATTGATGTATATATACTTATAAGTTATGATATGGGCTTTTAGATATCTCTATATAGGGTTCATGTAAGGTTATATATATAGTTTGGGTTTGTAAAGGATTCGAAGGTTTATCTACGGCATGATGTGGATGTGCGAGCTCGTTGCTGTGAGCTGTGAGCCTGCGACTGCGAGGCCGTGCTGTGCAAGAAAGGGTCTTATATGCTGCTTCTTTATAGACATACCATATAGAAGCCATTATTGATCCCGAATACGTGTGTCTCCAGTGAATCACCGGGATCAACCAAAGAGCGTTTTTCATTTCAGACAACAACTGCGAAAGAGCAATTCTGCTTTAGAGCAGCTGATCCACAGCAAACAGCCGAAGCAAAAATAAGCGGAACGAGCGGAAACCTCCAGCGGAATCGCCGAGAGCATTTATTATGCAGGCTTGGTTTTCACAGGAAGGCGCTTCTACAAATCGCTTAGGCTCACAAGGGCTACAGTTACATAACGTTAGATAGAGGTTTTAGGAGTTGCAATGTGGAGGTGTAGGGGCCCGACGTAGATGAAGTGCAGATATGTTTTGCTTCTGATCTCAAGCAGGAAATGCTTCGTGTGATGTCAACGGTTCCTTTTCTGGCGTCCCGGTCCCTGCGTAGCGTGTTCCTCTTCCCGACAACTCTGGTTAACAGTCATTGTACCAATACCCCAGCAACCTGCAAAATTGGAAGCCGGGCCTCTGAGGAAATTGAGCCCAGAACCTGACCCCGGCAATGCAAGGTTATCTTCAACGGCTATGATGTGTATGGGAATCTGCTGAACCATCACCCGGCATCTTGGATGCGTGAAGCCGGCCAGTCTGATAAAATTTGAGACGTCCTGTGCAGGACGTTGAAGGTACATATGATATGGGAGTTTCCGAAAATAAGGAACCCTAAGTTATGGTACCTTAAAATACACTAAATAGTAGGATCCTTATTATAAGGACCCCCCAAAATAAGGTACCCCTAATTTTCGGAAAGTCCCATATATGGCAGATAGACATGCTCGCTGCCACGGGTGACGGCTATGCTTTAAAATGACAGTCTGCGCAATGAAGCCCCGGCTTCATCGCCGCAGGTGACAGCAAGACTTCCCTAATCGCTTCAAGCCAAAGTGACTTCTTTTGTGATAATATAGTGGCCTTAATAATTAGAATAGGGTTTTTTGGGGGGTTCCTTCTTGTGTTTATAGTTTGAATATACAGCGACAGCGCCGGTTAAGAAACAGTTAATTGTTCAGGAGGCTCGATTTCTTAAGTTTGAAGCACACCTTTGTTTAGTAAAAAAAGCGTTTCGGGATTTGAGGGTACCCTGGGTTTCTTAACCCAAATTTCTTAGTTTGAACGGCAGCAAAAACAGACAAATGCAACAATGAGAGCACAGGAGCAGCACCTTCCATTCCAGCTCATGTGCTTATCCACTCGGGCATGGCATCCTTCAAAATCCTTAAACGCCATCACATCAATCCCATGTTTTCCCCAGCTTGTAATCAGCCCTTACCAGAACCCCCCAAAACAAGAAATCGAGCCCCTCAATTTCTTAAATTTCAGACATCGAGCTTCTCAATTTCTTATTTTGGTGGTTTTTCCCTGTATGGCAGAGCTTATTTTACACACATCTTAAGCCCTTACAAAGCCTCAAGAGCCTTCCAAAGCTGCTATTAAGGCCTTATTAATCCCTTATTAGGCAAGCCCAGAACCACCCAAATAAGAAATCTAGCCCCTCATTTTCTTGAATTTGAGAAATCGAGCCCCTCAATTTTTGATTTCGGTGGTTTTAGTTCCAAATTATATGGCAAAGCCTTATATATACAAGCCTTTGCCAAGCTTCTAAAGCCGTCCAAAGCTGTTATTAATTAAGGCTTTATTACGCCCTTATTAGGCAAGCCCAGAACCCTGCGAAAATGAGAAATCGAGCCCCTGGTTTTTTAAGTTTGAGAAATCGAGGGGCTCGATTTCTTATTTTGGTGGGTTCTGGGCTTGCCTAGTAAGGGTTTTATGATGCCTTGAGAACAAGGGGATAAGCACATGAGCTGGAACGGAAAGTGCTGCAGGCTCGAGCCCTCCTGCGCTCTCATTTCTTGGTTTCCCTTGTAAGGGTTTGGTGCCGAGCTTTTGGAATACGAAATCTACTCCCTTAGGTTCTTGGTTTCCTTTTTTGTGCGAACAACACCAGCGAAGACAGAATGAACAGAGCAAAGAATAAGTTGGCAAGCAGAGTCCAGGGTACCCTGGAATTCCTATTGTTGAATCCGCGCAGGACATAAAGAAATGAATATACATATATATATATATATATATATATATGTGTGTGTGTGTGTGTATCTTGTGGCACAGCTGTCCCAGGGGCTCAATTCCTCAAGCCAATGATTTCTTAAGCAGTGCTGTTGCTGCACCCCCCTAAAACTTCTATAAAACCTATTCTAATTATTCAGGCCCCTACATTACTGTTGCCATCCGACCGAAGTTCTGAGGCGTGCATCTACTACGACATGGAAATTGCCACTTGCCTTGCATAGAAAGCCTTTTGCCTCAAAGTAGCGAACCCTGTACTGCCCTATAAACCACACAAACCCCGGAGCCCAAAGCCATCAACTTCCGAACTGTAGCCCCTCAGCCCCCCTACAACCCGGACCTCCAAACCCGCCATAAAGCCGGAACCCTTCCAGCACCTTTCCTACAGCTCTTGGTACACCAAGACCCCGAAAGTAGCGGAATCGGCCCCTCTTGTGAAGACAACACCGGTGCATTTGAGGACCGCAACTCCTGGCACAGTCTTGCCGGGTCCGATCTGAAGCAGCAGATGTACTTGGGCAAGGACGGCTTAGGATTTGACAAGAGAGAGAGAGAGAGAGAGAGAGAGAGAGAGGGGGAGACAGAGAGAGAGAGTTCATGACGGTGGGGCTCGTCGATTTCTGAGCATGGCGGTTTGGCGTTTAGCTGTTTAGCTGCTGAGCTCAAGGGTCTTTCGGATGTTTATTCGTGTTGGGGTTTAGAGCGATGTCAGGTGTAATTGTGTGAAGTTGCGGGGAAGGTTAGGAACATGTGCGTTCTGAGCTTGTACTCGCAAAGCATTCAAGGAGTAACTGCATCGTCTCACTTGAGTCGAGCTTGGGCAGTTCTTACCACACCACTTTTGCCAGTCAGCGCCCGACTCATGGACGAAAGGAAGTTTGGCTGCACGACTTCCCGCGACATGTTTCAGGGACTACAAGTCTTTTGTAGGTTTCCCTTCCGCCGACCCAAAAGCCTGTGTAGCTCTCCTTCGTCCCAGCTGTCCCTTTGGTCTTTTACGGAGAAGACCAAACTGTTTGTATACAAGTTGGATTTGCTTGTGTCCCTTCGGAAGTCGTGATATGCCCTGAAGGAAGTCGCCATTCCGGTGGGCGACGGCCTTGGGGAAGTGTTTCGCTTTGGAGCTGTGAGGGTTTAGCGACAAAGGTTTATTGAAGCCTTAGGGTTCGATGCCCCACAGGTATAAAGGTACTATAAAGGATTTAGGGGTTCCTTGCAAGGGATCTACAGGGGTTCAGGGGTTCCTTTAAGGATTATAAGGGATCCGGATAAAGGTGCTATAAGGGATGCCATGGCAGGCATATTGCAGCCAGCTGGCACTTGTTTTGCAATCCGAAGGCTATGGATTCCTCGCTCTCTTGTTCGCACACAGTTCCGCCTCTCCTATTCACACACAGTTCCGCCTCTCAGCCTGTAACCCAAATCAAGCCCTGAACCCGTGGTTTGGTTGTGCTTTCGTTTCTGATACAGTAGTCTCGGTGTTTAAGTTCCAGGTTGCAGATCCCGCAAGGCTTGGGCCTCTGCTATGGCCTCTGCTGGCGTACTCAAGCGGCCTTCATAATTAGCTCTACAAATGTTGTAGAATTACCTCTGCAGTTTTGCGAAGTCACCTTTACAATTTTTGGGGGCGGCTCCTTACTACAATTATGGAATACATACCCCAAGACACAGACCCTATTCTAATTATACCTATAGTCTCTATTGTAGTTCCTTTTGGGGGTCACCTTTCAGGATCCTCAATATAAGATTGGTTAAAACAAAAAAAAGGAACTACAATGGAGACTATAGGTAGGGCTCCTAGGGTAGCTGGGCCGAGGTCCAAAGGTGTCGAGTTTCACGGCAGACACGCTGGAAAAGAGCATCGAGAACGAGCTGAAAGAGAGTGTTGCCGCCCCAGACATCCCCTAATATAAGGGCATATGTAATTACCTATGCTATGTTGGAGGCTCCATCCTTCTTAAGAGGATAGTATATCCCTATTCTAATTATGGCCCCTATAGGCCTCCAGTTGCTGATTAATGGTCTATGGAGCTTTACGGCTGCCCCGAGCTGAAGTGTTGGCGTCGGGCGATGTGGCACATTGCTGTCAGTGTTCGCGCAAGGAAGACATCATCTGCCACCCTGTTCCGGAATGGCTCATGTACCTGAATACATAGTTTAGTATAGCCTGAAGCGATAAAAGTACGTATCTCCATTTAAGCCGTGGAATACTTACTTACAAAGGAACGCCCTTCAGCTCTCCACACAAAAAACTATGTACTGACTACGCGCATGGATCCTTGCACATTTCTTCGCAGAGGGCATCCTGCCCCAACCTTGAACCCTCGGCCCTAAAGCCCAAACCCTGATCACGCCGACCGGCACCTGTGAACCTCGCCTGGCTTGTCCGATTTGTGGCAGAACAAACCGTCAAAAACCCAAACCCAAAACCCCACCCAAAGCCCGAAATCCCAAAACCCTACACCCTCCGCCCTACAAAGCCCAACTCCCTAAACCCTGCAGATCCGAATGATCCGCATGCGGATCGGCTTCGAGAGCGCCTACGAGGATGGAGCTGCCAGCTAGGAAAACGGGTTCAGGGTTTAGAGGGCCGGGTGTGAAAACCTGAAGTGGCTTAAATAGTTACGATATACTAAGAGGTTTTGGGTTTGAAGGTGCTCTTTTACCCGGGTATGTTGGCACAGCTATGATCCCCCAGGCATCTGCAGCTTAGCGCTTGCAGTCCGTAGCAGTGATGCTTATAATTAGGGTTTATTTCGGTCTAATCTTGGGTAACTTAGGAACTTCGGTTGCAGCACTGCATGCCTAAACCCTAAACCCCAAACCCTGAAACATGGAAAAGAGCCTATTAAAAACAAAAACTGAAACATGCCTGACTTTCGAGACCGAGACCTCGTCAGGCATGTCCGAGCTGCGAGGGCGCAAGACATGCCTGATTGAGTCCCTAAACCCTGAATCCTAAAACCCTAAACCCCATAAACCCTATAAGCCCTGAACCCTAAACCCAAAACCCTATCGTGAGCGTCGAAACCCAAAAAACCCTAAACCGTTGCTTCCAGGACAGTGAGGTCCGCGACGAGGCTCTCCGCACCTACCTGCCAGGGCCCTGGTCTTTTTGGGTCTTTAGCATGGAGCGGTTTTGTGTGTTTTGGAGCGGTTTTGTGTGTTTTTGGATTCTGGGCTTGGGGTTCGGGGCTCGTAACACTTACAGTAAGACGCTCAATGTGAGGGTTTGGGCTTGCCGAGGTTCGTTTTTCAAGCTTCGCTGTCATGAGCTACACCAAGCTTCAGTGTAACTGTGCATGCACTTTACTTGCACAGCGCATGTAACGTACTTGTACCAGAATATATGCATGCACACGAACATCCGCGCATCCAGCCTTACCTGCACATCCTGCTGACTGTAAGCTTTGTATACACAGCCGATGAAGTGGTTATAATTGATTTGCTTGTGCTTGTTTCCATCATTTCATGTTTTGTTTGTGTGGACACCTGTGTTCTCGTACGACGACTGCATGACTATACACATTTTGGCATACGTACATACATGCATACACACATACAATTTTGTAAGTGACGGGGACACCGACAGAAAGCTTGACAACAACACCGACTTGGAAGATGATCGAAGCTGGCAATTCATTACGAAGGGCTTTAAGCGGAAGTTCCAGTATGTTGTGTACAAGTAAGTGAGGGTAAGTGAGGCCATAGATTACAGCTCATTTGCCCGCAGCTCCGGGACTGGCACTTGCAGCAGCCGAGGGGTCACTTGGAGAAAGAGTGCGTGCTGGACGTGGATTGGGCCCATGACGATTCGGACCCGCATGATTGAGCTGCTGTTCTATCAGTTCAGAATATGCCATATCACCGAGCTGTAATGCTCTTAACTTCCTCCTCGCAACTGTTCTGAGCAGTACGTGCTAAACACAAATATCACCCGAAGTGCTACTAACAAAATCGATGCTCAGCAGGACAAGCCGCTGAAGCCTTGGGGCGCACCCTCTCCCTTCAATGCAGCCGAGTACAAATCGCCCGGGAGCTCAGCAGGTGAGTCAGACAACAGTTGGGCATCCCTGTGATGGGGACGGTGTCATGACCTCCCTATAGTCTCCATTGTAGTTCCTTTTTGGGGTTACCTTTTAGGATCCTTAATATAAAATTGGTTAAACTATAAGAAGGAACTACAATGTTACAATGGAGACTATCGGTCATATTCCAGCATGATATCCGGCAGTCCTGCTGCAAGCAGAATCCAGTCGGTGCAGTGAAAAGAAATGTTCCTGGACCGGTGCCGCCTTCGCGTGCCATGCAATCAGGGCCATTCCATCAGCCAGCATTTGTCGTAGAGTACGGCCAAATAATCGCTTCGGCATGCTGGAGAGTGGCCAAAGCATCTAACCTGACTCAGTCTTGGGGGCTTTTCCCAAACCCAAACCTCCAAGCCGAAAGCCTGACCCATCCTGGTCTCTCGAGGTCGTGCCGTCCAGGGCCCAGCATCCTTCTTGCGAGCGCATGGCATTGGAGATGCATTTTGTGCCAGTTTAGCCGGCAGGCTGCGTCCATACGAGCGGAATTCGACGTTTGGTCATTGTGGCTATAAGATAGATCACCACACAATAATGAAGCGACAGTACCACCACCGCCACCACCACCACCAGCACCACTTCTGCCACCACACAATTTCGGATTCTATAGAGTCGGGTCCTCTGTTTTCTGAAGCTCCAAAAGACCAGCACAAGCAGTGCCACTATTCGGAGTCCTACATACTAAATGAAGACCCCAAACCCAAAATCTCTAGTCTCAAGTCCTTCAACTCCGCAACTTCCCCAAGAGACCAACGCCTTAGACTCAGACCCTGAGGCTATGGGGCCCAAACCCCTGCACTTTGAACCCTCAATCCCTGCTAGACTTCGCAACACACGACTGCCCATGACCCAGGTGATGCTTGGAAGAAGCACTGGAAGGAGAAATCAGACTTGAAAGGTGCACGCCAGTGCCTTATAGGGACCTGGACCCCCAAAGTATGTAGTGTAATGACCTTGTGTAGGTATTGGGCCATTATTTTACCTACTTTGGGGGGTTTAGGGATTGACTAGGGTTTAGGGACTACCTTAAGCCGGAATAACCTACCTTTTTAAGGATTTATATGAGGAAATCATAATAAGGGACCCTAAAAAGGTTGGTTATTCCGGCTTAAGGTAGGGGGCATCCTAGATGCACAAGGCAGCCTTTCAGCTCCGGAGGCACGAAAGTCGTGGGAGTCGCGTTCTTGGGCCTGGATTGATTCATGGGATTTTGAAGGTTTATATATATATATATATATATATACATGTATATATATGTATATGTATATACATATATATATATATAGAATTATGACTTATGTAGGCCAGAGGCAGGCCCTGACGATCCGTTTGGAGCCTTGAAACACGGACAGCATCGACAAACTCAGCAAGGCATATCGGAAGTAGAGGGTTTTAGAGTCTTGAAGAGGTTCAGTGTGACCACGGTTTAGGGTTTAGGGCTTATAGGGTTCAGGGTTTAGGGTTCAGGGTTCAGGGTTTAATGGTCCTTGGCAGCCTTCGCAGTGCATAGTTGTTGCTCCACGGATCTCCGAAAAACAATCGGTCTGTTGTTCACCGAATTGGGAGGCCAGCGTAGATGCAAGATATGTTCGGAGCTCTCTCTGGTGATTAGTAACTTCATTTACGTGCATGTATAGTCCTTGAACTACTGTTTTCTATCAAGTTCCCAAAATCCCTATTCTGATCGTTATACACGACAAGCCTATCTTTAGACTGTACCTCGGTCTTCTAAGGCCGCTACTTGGCCGTCAAAGAGAATCACGCGGCCTCCTCAGCAACGGTTCATGGTGCCAAACCCACCGTAAACTCTGGAATTAGAGCATTCAGGATGCTTGTTTATCATCAGCAAGGACATTCGGTTCCTACGAGCCCCGAAAAAAAGAGAGCCTGGATCCTTCTCCTCGCGGGAACAGAGAAGCGCCGAAATCCCCTGCAGTTTGAGGCCGCAAATCCCTGACTGAAGCGTTGTGGCCCTCGAACATGAATGAGCCTAACAAGTCAAGGGAAGGAACCACATCAACAAGAGAGCCTCGACGAAAGCCCAATCAGTTCCAAAAGGGAATCTTGAAACCCACAGCCACGGAAAGCCCTGCAAGGCTTTCTAACACCATGAACTTACCACAGACATGAGCGCATGAGTCCAAACACTCTCAACTATCCAAGCTTCCTAAAGCCCCACATAGAGACCATAGCTTCAAAGTCGGCCCGGCACAGTCGGCACATGTGTGTACATGAAAAGCCTCACATGAGCACCACTCCCAGGTTCTCAGCGGGGTCCCGCTGCACTTCTCCAGCTCGGACTTGAAGGATTCCAGAGATGAGGGTTTAGGGTATTGAAAAGTATGTAGGGTGTGTTGGGTTTAGAGGAGGGATTCTGAAAACGGGCCAGCTGGAGACTAATGTTCTTGGAACCCTATCCAGGTAGCCAAGGAGGGGGATAAGCAAGTTCAGTTCTTAAGATGCACCCTTGAGGGTGGCGGTTTCATGTGGCGAGGTAAGCGTCCGAGGCTTTAGGTCGGTGGTTGGTCGGGCTACATAAGGATTGAGGAATTCGGGGGCGTCAAAGAGAAGAAAAAGAAGCGCACGCTTGGTCGCGGGCCGGCGAGGTAAGTAAAGGTTCAGGGTCTGCGAGAGCTAGCTTTGGGTTGCGAATCAGCTACACATCGTTTTTCTGTACAGTTAGCAGGGGTAAGTCGTCGCCTTGCATGGCTGCAGTGATATTCGAATCATGCGCGTGCCAGGAGATTCGAAAGTGCATCATGGGATGCAAGCCTATCCAGGACTGCCTTGAATCCGGAACGAACAACTTGCATTTTTCGCATGTAGGTCCATTCCACTCGCATTGCAAGCCGGCCTATCGTTCTTTAAATGCCTTCTGATGTAGAGAGCTCAGGAGTATTTCCGGTACCCCTCAGATGACATTTTCTTCTTTGCTGTCGCGAAGGCTGGAGACCGAACTCTAATTCTCTCAACGAAGTCACAATAATAGGGGCCCGGAGGCTTGAATAATTGATCACGGTAGTCCTTCGGGCTCCGTTTTTTCTCTAGCGACTCCAGAAAGCAAGAGTCCAATTCTCTAGTCTTCGATATTGCATTCAATTATACAAGGCTGCTCTTCTACCCTGTAGCTCAGGTTCTCCGCCTGTCAGTTTGCGTTCGATGCTTGTCGTCCTCTCGCCCGGCCTTGTAGCGGATGAGGTTCTTCACAATTGCAGTGGGGTAGAGGGTATGGCTAGGTGACCAGGTGTTTTCATCGGCTCTGGATTATGTAGAGGGTCTTCATCAGATGGACCACTCACAGGAGTTCATTTTGGGCCCTACAGTGCCCTAAACCCAAGAAACTTAAGCCCTCAACCAGAAAGCAACCCTAAACCCCAAGCCCAAACCCCCTTAAGTCCGAAGCCCTCGACCGAGCCCGATTTGGAGCAGGTCTTCCCGCTGCCTGACAGTCGGCGGCCCCAGGGGATAACTTGATACGAACAGTGTATACGTCGACCCCCGAACTACTCGCTACTATACCCCCAAAACTCACTAACGGGTTTTTGGGGGTCCTGGTGGAGGGCTGTAGAAGATTCGCGATCTGTTGGCTGCTGTTTCGGATTCACTGGGTTTCGAGTCTACGGCTGATTGTCATTTCAAGAATACCCTAAGGGTCCATGTACTCATACAGTATATACATTGGCCTTGATGTAGTCCCTATTTAGGTACATTGGGGCCCAAGTATATGCTATATAGTTTCCGAAAATGGGTGACCCTACTTTAGTACCCTAAATAGTAGGATCCTTGTTATAAGGACCCCCAAAAAAGGTACCCCCTATTTTCAGAAACTCCCACATGGACCCTTAGCGATGTCATGGGAGATGGCCGAACTTCTGATCGGGAATTGATGGGGAATCGACTTCCCAGTTGCGTAATACCTAGAGGCTCCATAGTAGTTCCTTTTTGGGGTTCATATTTAGAATCCTATAAGGTAATCCCAAAAAGGAACTACTATGGAGCCTCTAGGTATACTGTCTTTGCATCGTTCCTATCAGAGTTCCGCGCGACAGTACTCTGCAGAGGCGTAACAACACTCGAGCAGTATCCAAGAAGAAGGCGTCGGGCACCTAAGCCCTAAACCCTAAAATCCTAAACCGTGCAAATTTGCACACGTTAATTACGGAGCTCGATGAGGCTTTACTTTTTCCTCCACTCGATAGTCTGAGGTGTGTGCTCCGTCTGGGTGTTCATGGGCGCCGAGGCTCCAGATTGTGGGACTGCTGGGCTAACTGTTTGGCTTTGATGGTCGGCACTTGATGTGGAGCCCTGTATAAAATTGAAGTTTAAGGCCTTCCGTTCTGCTTTCGATCTTTAACGAGCGCTGAGACACACCTTGACTGGAACTGCCGACGCTCGTTGTAGCCAAGACTTAGAAGGGCACTGCAGGTTTGCCATGGGGCACAAGATCGGGTGGCGAAGCAAGAAGCCCATTGCAAAAAAAGTTTTTGCAAAGAGCTACCCATACAATGCTGCTAGGGCCAGGAGGGGCTTACATGTCTCTAGCCACCAAGTCGGTCACTCGAAGATTTGCAACGTAACTTGAGTTGCCATGATGGGGATACTGCAGGGATTGGCATGAGCAATGCTGTCCATCCTTTACATTATATATGGGAACTGATAGTTGCAGTTCCTCAAGAAGACCTTGGATGCTGCTCACACGATTGTTCATCTCAGTCTGATCAGGTGAAGATGCCTCGTGAGCGCATCATGCAGCTGTGCAAGGCATTGGCTGCGCTTTGTCGCCGAGTCTCCGTATGATACATCGCAATTACAGTAGCGGTCCTTTGGAGAGATCCTTAGAACGCGGCTTTTGCTTTGTAGGTCCGTTGTTCGCGGCGCCCTTTTGCCTGAAACTCCCATACATGAAGCCAGGTAAAGAGATCAACTTACTTGTGTCAATTTGCTCGCTTTACTTGAGTGTTTCACAGTTTTGAATGGGCCTGTCGATGAACAGTTGCCGCTGCCCACGTCTGTTTTGGGGTCCGCAGTGTTTACAAGCTGTCAACCCATCCTGCAGGAGCAGAAGCCAGGAACTCAGCTGTTGGGGAACACGTGCTCCGTGTCTCTTCGACGCAGAGCGTCCCGAGAGAAACCCAAATCACAGTAACAAAGTGGCCATGGGCACTTCCGCTATCTGAGGGAAGCCGAAGCTGCGATGTTCGAAGAAGAGGAACAGGCCATGGAGGGAGCTGAGGAGGAAGACATTGAGGAGCCACTGTGGAATGGAGAGTGAAGCGATGAGGTGACTGATTTTCGGCGAGTGTAGGGTCGAATATTCAGGTTTAGTCTTGTTCGAAGCCTTGGGAAGCAGACGTGAAGACGTCGAGATGGAAGCTACCAAGCAGACTTCCACGTCAGTCCAAAGGCATGAACACCTCAACCCCACAGGCTCTGAACCCCAGCAAAGCCTTACATAATAACAGCAAATCAAACCCTTGTTCCGTTATCGAACGCCAGAGGACCTCGAGGCACCCCCGGAGGTGAAGGAGGAGGCCCCACCACCTCCGCCGGAGGCCGAAGGGAGCGGCGCTGTCTCTTTGGAGCAGGATGTCCGCCTCGTCATTTCTTCTCAACGCAGCCCTTCACTTCTCAGCCCCTACCTACCTCAACCCCCCAAAAAGCAAGTAAAGCAATGGCCCATCAACTATGAAACGCTATTCTTCTACACTCTTTTGGGGCCCAGGTGAACCCTAAAAGCCCCTAAAATCATTTCGGGGGCGCAGGTAAACCCTGAAAAACCCGGAAAACATCCTAAAACCCTGTTTTGTAACCCCAGACCCTAAACCCTACACCCCTAATACCCTTTAAAGTGTACCGGCAGGTGAAAGACGAAGGTCAGGACCTCTACGCATCCGCCGAGGCCGACAAGAAGCTGGAGCAGCTCCAGCAGGCCTTTTCTTTGTCCCTAAGGCTCCATGTACCCATCCCTAAGGGTCCATGTACTCATATAGTATATACATTGGCCTTGATGTAGTCCCTATTTAGGTACATTGGGGCCCAAGTATATGCTATATGAATACATGGACCCTTAGGGCATATATATATATATATATATATATAGTATATAATACTTAGGCCTTAAAGTACCTATATAGGGACTACTTTGGGGCTGAAGTATCTACTATGAAGGGCCTTTTCTTTGTGTAGGGAGCTGAAAGTTAGGTACGGCCCCCATGCAGCAATAGTCTAAGAAAGGGCTACTATTAAGGTCCTAATATGTCTATATTATGACTGTTATACAACTACTACTGAGTGGGGGCCGTACCCAAGCTAAAAGGGTTTCGGGTTTAGGGTTTGCTTAAGGAGCTGAATTCCGCGTGGGTTGAAGGGGTTAAGGGGGTTGAGTTTCGGTAGGGTAGATCGAAAGTTTAGGGGTTAGGGTTGCAAAATGGCTACGGCTCAAGCTTTGGCTCGAGCCGTTCTGGATGCGAGGCTCATACTTGGGCAGAACCCTGTACAGTTTGTGCAAGTCAATCGTGGCGACATGGCATCTCCTCAGCAGAAGCTCATTTCTTGCTTGGGGTATGGACTGCGAAGTGCTCGGAAATTGGGTCAATCAGCAGCTTGCCAACATCTACGCTTGGCTTTGGTACTGGTGATGGATCCTTCTCAATACACTACTGGACAGAGTCTCCGTCATCACACAACGATCGAATTGAACGAGGCAATTCCCGCTGCAAGAACTCAGACTGCCACTGTCTGCTGCCAAACAGAGGATGAAGTCCTGACGCGACCTGAATTCGAGAGCATTATGGCGAGTCTGGAAAGGACTTACAAAACAGCTATGCAGAAGATCGAAGAACAAATGGCCAAACAAATAACCATAACGGACTCGTTGCGGGAACAAGCTCAAACTCGACAACAGGATGAGCATGTCAGCATGGCACTTTCCAGCAGAACTGGTATACCGAGGCTTCCAGGTCATCATGTTGAGCTGGACCCAATGACCGACATGAGTCACCAACCCGTTCATGCACTTTGCGCCGATTCTGCTACTGCCAGGTTGGAGACACTACGAGAAAGTCACGAGAGGCAGAGACAGACACTCAAGGAGCGAAGACGAGCGGCCCGATTGAACCAGCTTGGAAGACCACCGACTGATCAGCCAGGTTAATTAATTTCAGTTTCAAGAGTTATCCTATCTGTAGTTTTACGAGTGGCACAGATGTTGCCCTTCGACCAGGCCTGACGCTTCGAGTGCCTGTGAGAGAGAGAGAGGGGTTAGGGTTGGGCTAAGGGGGTCTGTAGGGTTTATGAGGTTCTATATCATTTGTTCTAAAGGGCTTGATGAGTTGAATAATTTAGTTTTTCTATGAACAACCAATTTAGAAATCCTGTTGGACGTGGTGGGCTCAAAGTATGCCACGTTTAACAGCCACCTCGTCTCCTCATGTTTCTACCGCACTGTCATTATGACGAACATGCACACATCATAACAGACCATGTGGTGTACTGTATATTGCATAACATACTATATGCGAAATACACTTTCAAGATATTTGGCGTTTAAACTGTGATATTTCATGTCATGCAGCTTTGCGCTGCTACTTAGTCGTTCCTGGTTATTTCGCTGTTGTTGTTCTCCGCGTTTCTGGTTGTTTGGCTCGATACCCGTGAGCCTGCCAGGGCAAAGACGACTCCAAGGACGACGAGAAGAAAACGAAGAAAAAGGACAAAGAGTCTGAGTGAGGGTGGCCGCGAAGGCTGATGAAAATTGGACGCTGCCCTTTCCGGACTCGGCATGAACCTCTGACTCCTTGGGTTTTCCACGGATGCAAGCTTAAGCGCTACAGGTGCGCATGAGACTCCCTCAACTCCGAGCTTGTTACTTTGTTTAAATGAAAAGGACCTCTACTCGGATTCCTGAAGAGAATTGGAGGTTTGGTAAAAGCCCTGTCCCTGCACCTTGTCCTGCAATCTGTGCCCAAGCTGTGGAACGCCGGATGTTGCATAGAAACAGTGGAACCCCCGCACACACCGAAGACCGTACCCAAACTGCCTAACAAGAGCCTTTGTGAGAGTCCGTCGCTTGCAGTTCCGAGGGCCCGACTCCTGGGAGAGTTTCCCCGGTGTTTGCAATGGGTTTCCACGGGATTTGGTCCTGGAGGTCGGAACACCATAAGACTCTAGATTCCTCAAACTCGATTACCCTAGAATGGCCCGTATATAAGCTCGAAATCCTGTAGCATGTGGAGCCAGTGTTTGAATGACAGTTGCATTGCATCCCACAGCTCCGGATCATTTCACCTGCCAAGTACGGAGAAACTGATAAGCTTTTAGTCTTGTGAGGTTATTGGGCGAGCAGCAAGTAGAGTATAGGTACAGTTCCCGTGTATAGAAAGATCAAATGTTGATTCCCAAGAGGCAACCGAGACCAAATCCTGGACACATTGTTGTTAATGACTTGTGCTTAGACGCACGGCGGAGAGATCTGATGTCAATTTCGATGAATTCGACCGACTCAAGTACTCCATTGCTCCTGAGGGCAAAATTCCAAATTGGAAAGGCGCAGTCGCATCAGATCTCCGGCCCTTGCTTCCTGCACGCCGCAAGGGGCGTTTCGACGAAACATAAATAGGTTTGGAAGGCCCGGAACACTAAGCCCTAGACCCGAAGAAGCCCAGGCCATCAGACCCTCGCAGCCCTTCGTGGGTTCTTCTGCACCTTTCGGCCTGTTGGATTTCTGATAGTGAACCTGCACGGACGGGCTGTGCTCCACCCGATAGAGACTGCTAAATGGATTGCTCACCGCATGGGAAAAGATCCATGGCTCATGGTAGGTCGACGGATGCTTTGAGGTCAAGAGGTGATGCTTGATAATCCTGCTGTTGAGGGTTGGGGGCCTCATATTGCTTGACGTGGCAGGCGAGTGGAATGTTAAGTTAGAGGCTTGCTTGAGAATTTACACTCCGCACACTCTGTTGGATGGATACTCGCCATAGCTGCGAAGCAGCCCGGTCGCGCTGCGTCGATCTTGGCACAGACGAGCTTTGCCAAACTTGCTTGAAGACGGGAAAATGTGCATGTTAACTGAGCCTGGCAGGAAGGTGAAAAGGATGCAGCACATTGGTAGATTGCACCAACATCCGACACTGTCACATGGTAAAGTTGTAGCTAGTTATAGCTCTCGATGAGTGAGGGCCTGTACATCAGAATCCAAGGCAATGGAATGCCCACTGACAGCGTTGATATGCAATTTCTTCTCCTACACGATTACAGACCTCGACGCTGCGCGAAAGTCGACGGTTCTAGCATTCCTAGATTCGGTAATGATACAGCAGTCCTGTGAATGCTATCCGTGGACTGGACTCTGTGAACTCAAAAAGCTCTAAACGATGGACAGGCCGCCCTTTTTCACGGAAACATGGCCATTTGGGAGATCGTGAGCTTCCGGTGGGTCCCGAGCCTCAGTTCTTCAGGGTCTAGGGTTCTGCAGGGGTTTAGGGTTTATGGGGCCGAAATGGTTGCCAGCTCTTAGTTTTTTGGGATCCTTACGATAATTATTGCAATTATCATGTACGCCGAAGCCTTCTTCAAATTAGCTAGGCCCCTGTATCAGGAGTTTAGGGCTTGTTGGGCTTAGGGTGCAGGGAGTGTGGAGAGCTGGTCTGGTTTGGTGAAGTCTCTACAAATCTTTGATGTAGCGGTCGGAATAATGACGATCATTTTATCGTATAAGATTCCTCAGCCACCCAATTGATAACCAAGGGCTCCTTATTCAAATCTTTGTCCGTGAGTTTAGCTATTTGGCGGCCCAGCCTCTAAGCTGAAGAAGGTGCACAAGATTGGTGTTCAGAGTTCTGCACCAGCTTCCCTGAATCTGAAATCCTATACTAAAGTACTATATGCATACCTTTATGGCCCGTTTGCCCCTATGTGAGGGTACAAGGAGGGTCCTGGTAAACCCTGCAAGGCTTGTTAGCCGCACCTCAAACCCTAACCCTTCAACCCGAAACCTCAAATCCTAGAAGCCGGACAAACCCCATAGGCCCATACTCCGAAAGCCTAATTCCCTCAACGCTACATACTCGGAAACTTTGCTTAATCCCTCAACCTTCATCCGTAAACCCTACCTACGCTTTAAAAACTTTAGCGAGGGGATGCGAGTCCCGCGATGACACGCTTCGCACACCTACGGGACAAGGACAGACCTGGGCTCAGGAGGGTTTCGGGGGGTCTGGTATGGGCGTATCAGGTTCAGGGCTGAAGCAGGTTATAGGCTTTTTCGGTTAGGGCTTTTGTTATAGGGCTTTTGATTCTCTGGTCTTGGATCAAGACAGGAGGTTTTTAAATAATACAGAACACACCACACGCAGTGCCTTGACATAGCTTCGCTTTTTTGGCTGCCGAATTTCTCATATAAAATATATCATGTCGAGGGTCGGCACTGCGGCCTCGAAACAATCCTTTGTCAGAAAGATGGGTCATAGCCCTGATTACATCGAGTCGTCATGCTTCGCAAATGAACCTGACGATTTTGTTGTTGTGTCTCTGCATGTTCGTGCGCACTAGAAGACTATACACGACCTTCCTAGGGCATCGAGTCGATCTTCAGGCTTGTGTTCATGCCTCCGCGTGCTTGCAGCGCCCAGGCACGCAGTTCTGTGTAGTCGACATTGGGAAGCCGTCGCCTATGGAGAGATTCGTCCGTCGCGGCCGGGATGGACGGATCTGCAGTTTGGACGAGTTTCAGGTGGCCAAAGCCCTGTTGGCCGGAGAGGCAGAGCTCCTGAGCCAGGAAGTCGACGGCAAGCACCTCTTCGACTTGTGTTGTCACTTCGGGTATCAGAGCACGGCTGCAGCGATGATTGAACACGGTGTGTCGGGGTGTGTCTTCAGGGGCAGCTCGCGGCCCGTAGCTGCGCCTGACGTGGCAAAAGCGGCACCCCCGATCCCGACGATTCCTCCTGCGAAGAAGGCACCTCCAATGTTTCTTCCGGCTACTTCTGCTACTCCTGCTGTTGCAAAGAAAGCCGCTCCTGCTGTGGCAAAGTGGGCACCCCCAATGCTGCCATTTGCTCCTACTGCTCCGCCCGTTAAAGCCCAACCGCCAAGAATCTCGTATGGTGATTGTAACTGTCATTGTCCGACTACGTGTACAAGCTGCAGCTGGGGCTTCTCGGAGGATGACGGTGTTTGGATGTGGGATTGGAATGCTAGCCTCCAGGCTGCCAAGGAGGCTGCTGAAAGCACAGCTGCGATGCCCGTCGATGCCGCATTGCTCCAGGCCTTTCGTTCTCAGGTGGCCTCTCCCGCCAGCGTCACGCAGGAAGGTTTTGCCTACCTCCTCGACCTTGCCATCCTCACGGGTGATGCGGAGCTGGCCAAAAGCTTCGCCAAGCACTGCAGCTGCTTCCCACTCAGGCGATGGAGAGTCCAAGAGTTTGTCAGTATCAAACATGGTACAGGACCGAACCCTTTTATTATTGAGATAAAGGAGCAGGATATCCTGGTAGCAGCTTTGGCCGCCGGTGTTGCGCTTCAGCATTTAGTGATGGAGCGCTTTGATGTTCCGCTTGGGGAACTCATCGTATTTTCCGAAGGCGCGGAGCTCTGGCAGCGAGTGGAAGGCCTTCAGCTGCAGCTGGGGCCTTGGCGAAAGCATAGAGATTATGACGACATGGCCTTTTTTCTCCAGGAGGATTCCGGCGGCAAAGTCGGGCTGAGCTCGGAGCGCCTGCATCGGGCCAAGAGGGCGGGGCTCGCACTGAGCTCCTTTAATATGAAGGAGCAGAGGGGCTTCTTCACATGCCGGCGATGTGGAGCTTCCTATTGTGGGATGCCCCTAGAAGAGTACTCATTGCTGGACCTAGCGATCCTTTTTGGTCAAAGCGACTGCGGCCGACTCTGTGGGGCGATGGACATCGAGGCGACCGAGTGGACCCTGCGAGCGAGCCTGGAAGCGATGCCTCTGGTGTGGGAGGACCTCGATCCGTGCGATCGCTGTGACTCTCCCTCTTCGGAGCTTGACATTCACCTTAATTTCTTCGCCGTCAACAGCATCGCATCGCTCCCGGAGCGCCTGGCTGCTGCAGCTGAGGCCCTTCGCGCGGCCTTGTGGGCATCCCTCCGAAAGACCGCAAGCTCTGCAGGCCCCGGACTCGCCATGCGCTCCTGGGCTCGAGGGAGATCGGTGCCAGAAGACGTGTTGAAGTCGGTGTTGACTTTCGCGACAGGGAGACCATCACTCCTGCAGGCCTTTGAGGGCCGTATGGGGGAGCTTCCTTCCGTGGGCCACTGGTGGGAAAAGTCGGTGCACGGAGAGAACCAAGATTCTGAGAGCGCCAAGCCGGATCACACGTCACAGGTGCAAGCTGACAGTTTGGGTGTCACAGAAAGGCCGCCTGCAGGCGCCGCTGCCTCTTCTAGCAACGGCGTGCAGGCACAGCCTGAGGGCACAAGCGAGAAGGAAAGCGGCCCCGACCAGTACACGACAAACGATCTCCTCATGGCCCTCCGCAATAGCAAGAGCGACAATCCGCCTCTGAGTGGCGACGGCGTGGTGATCTTCCGACTCACTCGGAAGGCCAATGCGGAGGAAGTCAATGCCATCCTCTTCGATGCCACCGGGCCCTTGTGGCCCTTGCACCGCCGTGTGCTGGAGGCCGGCTGTGAGGTGGCGCCAGAATGGTCTCCCATCAAAGCCCTCTTCGTGCCCTTGACCCAGCCACAGCTGCAGGAGCTGGGGCAAGGCCAGTGCAACAAAGCTATCATGGCTAAGTGAAGGTCACAAGATAGAACCTGCATGGTTGAAAGCATCGAAGTGTCGTGATAGTTATACTCGTAATTTATAATGGCATGTTCCCTACAAGCCAATGCCACGGTGTTCTTCGCTGTCCGAACTCGAGGCAACATCTACGAGTTGGGGAAGGTGCATCTGCTGGCCCTCCAGTCGGATGCCGAGCTTCTCACAGAGACCTTTAATGAAGAGCTCCAGCGCAGTGTTCGCCCCAAGCTCCGCCGCGCAGCCCCACGCAGGGACGACGCAGAAGAGGGTGCACCGGACCACGAGCCCCTGCTTGTAATGGAGGGCGGTATCCATGATAGTGTCCGAACGGATTCCAGTTTGGGCTATCCCGTCTACGAGGCCTGACGTGAAAAGCCACTATAGACATTGCAAGTGGATGCCTTGCTATCCAAATATATCCAAATTGCTAGTTTCAATATCGTCTCTAATTAAGCCCATCGCCCATCTGATAGCCTGCTGACTGTAACCCCGTTATACACCCTGCAGCCTCCCCGAATGTTTGCGGTACCGTTAGCCGGGCCACCGGGAATTTGCTCCGAGCGCAGCCCACGTCGCGGTCCGAAAGCCACGGGTCTTGTCGCCCTGGTGGAGGGGCCGAGGCTTACAATTGGCTCCCACATGCAGCGCCTCCATGTACAGCCGTACAGCACACGGAGGGCGAGAGAACTTCTGCAGAGGATTATATTCTTGCCATGAACAAAAATCAGACTGCAGAAGTGTGATAAGGCAGTATCTGAATCTCTCGTCCAAGTCCCGGCCACTTGAACCATTTCGAAAAGTTTTGCAGGCTCGGTTCTTGTGAGTGCTTCGGTACCATGAGCCTTGTTGCTCTGGAGCTCAGAAGCCTCGCCAGACAGCCTTAGTGTCCCGATTTACTAAGTGCATTTCACACCACGAAGCTCGAGACCCTTCGACATCGTGTGAACCATCGGTGGATGTCATATGATACATGCACGTATAGCCTTTATCTTCTGATCGAACATTCGGAGGGAGAAGAGAGCTCCACATAAGTGATGATATAGCATCATGAATCTGTCGGCGCTGGTGTTTGTCTACACCTGAGCCCTGAAGCCACGAGCCCTGCTGCTCTGGCAGATGGGCGCTGCGACCGCCACGCTGCCGTTGCCGACGAAAAAGGGCTCGAGTCTGTGCGCGTGTCTGAAGATGCAACATGGAGCGGCGCTCTCGCTCTGTGCCGTTTGCACACAGCTTCTTCTGATTATGACCGTTCAGAACATGCTGTCTGAGTCATTGGATTCATTCCCTGCTTGGACTCCTGCCAGGATGCCTGGAAATCACGGTGCAGGCGTGAGACTGGGATGGAGGCATACATCGTTATTGGTCTCCCAGCTTTGACTGGGCTTTTCTGGTGTACTAGAGGGTTTCGCAGTGGTTTAATTATAACCAATACCATTTGGGGGATTATAATTGTATAGTGGGCCCCCAACATCTTATTCTAGTCACTAAGGCCCCTTTATTGTGCTGCGAGCCGCCTTGGGATACAGCTTTGTTCCGAAGGAGTCGCCGAGCATCTGCATCATTTCAGCACGAAGGTGCTTTCGGAAACCAGTTCATGTGAGTTCAATGTCGGCTACTACCGTGTCGTAGTTTCACTTTTTGAGGCCGTCTGTTTAGAAGTGGACTCAGCTGAAAAGGACTCGACACCTTGCGTGAGGTGCTTGCCTGAGTGTAGTTGGCCGAGCCCTGCGACCTCAGGCCGACAGGTCGTACTCGCGGATGCCCCACATGTACCTCACGCTGCCGCAGGATGTGTCGGCTGAAGGCTTCGCGGGGTGCAATAAGGAGGCTATTTGAACCTCGTGGGTGCATTGTCGGCTGCAGTGGAAAGCTAACCGTTCTCAGAGTTTCTGCTGTTTTGCTGTCGGAGGTTTCGAGGTCGATACAAGATTCAATCATTGGGCTCAGCCTCTGCAAGAGACGGTAAGTTTCAGACCTAGCTTGGCCAGAAGCTGGAACACTGTTGTTTGCATCGCTTGTAAAGACCTGCAGGCTCGAATATGCATGTCCTTCGTACAAAACCTGTTGGTCTTAAGCTGGATGATGCAGGATTTGGTGTTTGGTACAGGGTATAGGCAGTTTTGATGCGCTTTGGTTTACATCTTCGCCGGTGTTCTGTCAAAATCGGAGCTGTCCCATTCCATGACAGACCCATAGAACTCCACCAGCACCCATCGCCCACTCGCAACGCTCAATCCACCGCAGCTTGCGGTTTGGGGCTCAGGGTCTCGGCTCCAGAAGATAAGTGGCATTTAAAATACTGATGCGGTTAATACTTACCCAAACCATATATATATATATATACACATACATATATATATATATATATATATATATATATATATATCGAAGCTCCAAGCATGGAAACCCTACGTCCGACTTCATAGGTACTTATGGGGGACCCTTTGGGTTTCGGGACTTTGGGAGCCTGGGAAGTTGTCAAGAAAGGCTCTGCCCACGGAGCCGCAGCTACATGCAGGGCCTACTTCTAGCTTGTTTGTGCCAGGTGGCATCTTATGAAAGAGTCATAGACAGTATGAAAGCCCATGAAAGGCGTGCAGAAGCCCTTCAAACTTTCTATGACCGAAGTTAAATTCCCAAGACAGCGGTGTCAGGCCGCCCACTGGGTCCGGCAACATCAAGAAAATTTAGGGGTACGGTTTCAGTGTCCGGGAATCGTTGTTTAAATGCTTTACTGGAATAGGTTCTCCTTGTCTTGAGTGCAAGATTTGTCTATGCCATCGCCGTCGGCTTTGCCGCAGGGTCACGTGTCAGGGTTCTTTCAATGCCTCCTGTGCTTCGAGCTACCTTTGTTAACTGTGCCTGGCACTCGAGGCATGATTTCCGGACGAGATTTCTTCCGCAAGCAGGCCTGCGTGGTGACATTTTCCAGGGCGCGGGCGCGGGTTATGCGGCTAAAGCCACCTGACTACATGCAAGGCGAAGGCTAGGCTTCTTGAGTGTGCCTTGAACGCATGTTTGGAGTTTTCCTTGTGGTTTGAGGTTGACAGTTGAACATGACGTTCCAAGAAGGGTGTCGACTCCTTCGGAGTTCCGATGCCTCACTACCCGAGGCTTGCTTGAGATGAGAGTGGAGGCTGCAGGTGCACAGGTAGGGTTCAGAACGCGTCGCACTTTGCATCACTCGCTCCGACCTCTGACGTCCGTGCTTTTTTGCTTCGGCGTAAAGTGCGGAGCGTCCTCTTCACCAGCTGACGTCCATGGAGAGGTTCGTCCGTCGCGGCCGGGATGGGCGGATTTTGGATGTGGACGAGTTCCAGGTCGCAAAAGCCCTGCTGGCCGGAGAGACGGAGCTCTTGAGCCAGGAAGTCGACGGCAAGCACCTCTTCGATCTCTGCCTGCAATTCGACCGCCAGAGCACTGCGGCGGCGATGATCTCGTATGAGGTGCCGGGGTGCTGTTTCAAGGGTCCTCTCGGCATGTGGCCTCCACCGACAAAGACATGCCCTTTGCTGCGAAGCAAAGGGCAATCCCCGAAGCCAACCATGGCCACTGCTCAACCACCGGCACAACCTTACCTCCGAACCTGCCTGTGCCGTGGCTGGGTCACCTGTGAAAGCTGTACCTGGGGCTTTGCGGAGGAGGAAGGCTTTTGGATGGAGGACTGGGATGCAGAGCTTGGCGATGCCAAAGAGGCGGCTGAAACGCGGCTGCAACGCCGGTGGTCAAAGCTGTGCTGGGGGCCTTCCGTTCCCAGGCGGCATTTCTAGGAATCGTCACAGAGGAAGCCATGGCCTACTTGCTCGACGTTGCCATCCTCATTGGGGATGCCGAGCTGGCCACGTGCTGCGCTGCGCACTGCACCCGTTTGCCGCTTCGACGCTGGAGATTCCATGACTTCGCAACCACAACTACAACAACCAGTGGCAAGTTAGCAGCCACCCGGATGCACATCCGAGAGAAGGGGATCCTGACGGCAGCTTTGGAAGCAGGTGTAGGTCTTTGTGACCTGGTCGGCTACTTCGAGCGGTTGGTGCGGCATGAAGAAGGCGTGTCGCTGTTGGACGCCATCGTGCTTTCCGAAGATTCCCAGCTCTGGTGCCAAGTCGAAGAGTTCAACCCACACCGGGAGCCCACCTCAGCCCATGAATGTGCAGAACAACATACAGCCGGGTTTCATCCTGTGTTGCATGAAACCTGAGATGGGCTCCCGGCATGTGAGAAGCACCGCCTGCTGATGCCACTGCCACTGTGCAAGTCTTGCCTCCCCACATTAATTTGCTTTGTGCTGTGCGAAGTTCGCCATCCCGAAGCCATTGGTCCTGTCGCCTTGGCAGAGGGAGTGCGAGGTGGCGCAGCTATGCAGCTCTGGATGTACAGCATAGCAAGGGCGAGAGGGGACCGAACTATACCGAAGTGGTTGAATGGGCGTATTCTGTAAGTCGCAAAAAATCACTCAACAGCTAGGTGGGACAAGGCTTCGATGAAAGTGTGTTTCGTCCCCTCTTTTCCTCGGCAATGTGCCGCGCCGCAGACACTCTATTCTATTCTTTTCCGCTGTCGTGCGAGCGATAGAAGTGCAATCATTGCAAGGTTACACGGCCTTTGCAGATAGCTCAGGTGACAGCAGTGACAGCTTCACCGTCGGCCCTGGCCTCCCCTGTGCAATGCTTGGGTCCGGAAGCCACGAGTCGTGCTGCTCTGGCAGATGGGCGCAAGATCTGCAGCTGGCGCCAGGCTTGAGAGAAAAAGGGATGCGACTGGCTCAATAACAACCGCACTGAGTCCGGAGAACGCAGGCGCGCAGATATTGTGTTCGTGTCAAATGAAGCTACTACAGTCTACATCTCGCTGTTATATATATATATATATATATGCACATATGTATATATATATATATATACATGTATGTATATTTTTTCCATTTCCGTGCCTTCAGAGGTAAGTACGCGGCCCAATTAGACATGCAAACGCCCAGCCTCTTGAGATCTCCTTTATGGCCGCCCAGCAACATGTCCCACAGGCTCCGCGCCGGCTGCGAAGGCCCCCAGGGCACTTTTTGCTTCTCCCAGCCTTACCTTTCCTGGCTGATGATAGAAAGTTTCTGAGCCGCGGGCGAAGAAACACGCTTTCTTTCCGTCGAGCTGTGTATTTAAAATTGAGAAAAGGCTGGGACATTACTACTGTGTGCATGCATTGGGCTGCAGCTGTGTCGGGTGTTTTTGGGCGATCGAGGAGTGATCTGCCCTCGCATCTTCCTGGTCACCGAGGCCCGAAGCGGTTGGGGGGTTTGCGAGGCGACCATGCTGAAGGCCCTGGTTCAGGATTCAGGTGACCAATTGGGGCAGCACCCCCATTTCTCACAAGAGAACAGGAGCCTGCAATTAATCAGATCACATACAAATACTGCTTCGGAGGCTCGGCAACAGCCTGTCACTGGCCATCGATTGTTCGGGCTGTGGCCACGGTGGTGGCCCACTTGTTCAAGGCTGCTTTACCAGTCTGCTGCCAGAGGTTTGTGCAACTGGTGTAGCAGGGTAGCAGCACCTGTGATCTGCTTCGGTTCAAACTTTAAGGCTTTCCTAATAAGTAATAAGGATTTCAATGAGCCCTGCGGGACAACATGCACAGCTTGAGTACGTTGCTCATCATGATGGTTGATATTCGCTGTTTGGGATCAGTAGCCTCGGCCTCGATTTAGGCATTTCAGGCTAAAGGGTTTGCAACGCAGCGGATCTGCAACTATCCTTTTCGGGATCGATCGCGTGCAGGCTCTCAGGGCTTCCACTCAGCTCCTCCACTCCTCTGCTTCCGAGATTCTGCTGCTAGAATAGCTTCTTTGCAAGCCGGTGGGTTCAGAGGCATCATGTGTCTTGCGGAACTTGGGCATGTCACTGCTTTCCGGGGCATGTTTGTTCTCCTGGTGTTTTTTGCCGAGGCAGGGGTGTGCAGGTTGTGTTTTTCTACAGCGGTCAACAGGTCGCATGCGCATTGAAAGGCCACTTCCCCACTTTATAGAAGGGCTATAAAAAAATGACCAACGTTTATTGTGGGGGTTCCTCTTCTTCATTGTAGCATAATGATTGCCCAAAACCGCATTCTAATTATGAAGGAGGCCCCCAAATGCGGAGCTGCGCATTCAAAGGCCACCTCCCCACTTAATATGGGGGCCACGTGGGGTTCCTTATTATAACTAGAAATATGCCCAAAACCCTATTCTATAATTATGAAGCAGGCCCCTGTATTACGGAGCTGTCCCTAAACCCTTTCTGCACCTCCCGACCGGGATCTCTCCTGCACGAGTGCCAGGGCGGCGGTCCTTTCCGCTCGAGTCGACGACTTCGGGCTTGGGCGCCGCAGCCCAGTGTCAGCAGGCCGGAAGTTGGGAGACCTATGATTCCTTGTGCTGAAAGAAACTCTTATGCTTAGAGACTTCAGATGTGTATGTGAGTTGGTGGAGGTTTCGAAAGCAGTGGACTTCTGAGCGACTTGGTGTCAGGGCTCTGGAAAGAGACTCTGGAATTGCTTCGTGCTTGTGTTTGGGCGCACCTTTGTCTCGAATCGCAGTTGTGCTGCAGCAGCGTCTTCCACCCTCCTGACTCCTTGCGTCAATAGCTGAAGCTCATGGAGAGATTCCTTCATCGCAGACGGGATGGGCGGATCCTGGACGTGGACGAATTTCAGGTTGCCAAAGCTCTGCTGGCGGGCGAAACGGAGCCCCTCAGCCAGGAAGTCGATTCCGGGGAACACCTCTTTGACCTGTGCTGCCGCTTCGGCCACCAGAGCACTGCCGCAGCCATGATTTCATACCGAGTGCCAGGCTGTGTTTTCAAGGGTTTCCACACCTTGCGGCCTCCTGCTGTTGAGCCTCCTGAACCACAAGCATACGTCCGTGTTTTCGGTGGCGTCTGCGAGTGCGAAGCCTGGAATAGTAACACTTGCAGAAGCTGCAGCTGGGGCTTCCCGGAGGATGAGGGTGATTGGATGGAGGATTGGGATGCAAGTCTTCAGGACGCCAAACACGCCGCGGAAAGCGTCGCTGCGATGCCGTTGGTTCGCAACTTGCTGGAGGCCTTCCGCTCCCAGGCGGCATTTCTAGGAATCGTCACAGAGGAAGCCATGGCCTACTTGCTCGACGTTGCCATCCTCATTGGGGATGCCGAGCTCGCCAGATCCTGTGCCAAGCACTGCACCCGTCTGCCGCTCCGGCGCTGGAGATACGAGGAGTTTGTGAGTATCGTGAATGATGACTTCCCGTGCCTTAGCCTTCGAGCAGAGATTCTGGAGAAAGACGTCCTGGTCGCAGCTTTGGCCGCCGCCCTGCAGCTCAAGCGGCTGACCCGCCGTTTCTGGAACGATGCCGTTTCGCTTGCGGAAGCCGTGGTACTTTCCGGAGACGCGGAGCTTTGGCAGCGAGTCCAAGGCCTTCAGCTGCAGCTCGGGCCTTGGCCGCTGGCCAACGCATGAAGAAGATGACGAGATGGCCCGTTTTCTCCTGGAGGATTCCGGCGGCCAAGTCAGGCTGAGCCCTGAGCGCCTGCACCATGCCGAGAGGGCGGGTCTTGCACTGCGCGCTTTCAGGCTGCAGGTTTTCTTCAAGTGCCAGGGATGCCACCGCTGCAATCAGCACTACTCTTATTTGCTGGACTTGGCGATCCTCTTTGGTCAAAGCGACTGTGCCCGACTCTGTCAGGCGATGGGCATCGAGGCGACAAAGCTTACGCTGAAGGCGAGCCTTGAAGCGATGCCGCTGGCGTGGGAGGACGATCGGTGCGAAGAGTGTGGCCCTACCTCGTGGCGAATTCCCGACAAGTTGGCCGAGAGCATCGCATCGCTCCCGGAGCGCAGGGCTGTTGCAGCCGAGGCGCTTTGCGCCGCCCTGCAGGCATCCCGCCGAAAGACCGAAACCTCTGCAGGATTGGGGCTCTTTCAGCTTATGCGCTCCTGGGCCCATGGGAAGTCTGTGCCAGCATCGTTGGTGAACTTGGTGCTGACTTTCGCGACAGGGAGACCATCGCTTCTGCAGGCCCTCGGGGGGCGTGAGGCTGAGCTTCCTTTCATGGACCACTGGTGGGAAGAGTCGATGCAAAGAGAGGGCGCAGATTCTCAGAGCCCCCAGCCGGATGCCGCGTCACAGGTGCAGGCTGAGAGTTTGGGTGTCACAGAAAGGCCGCCTGCCGCCGCTGCACCCTCTTCCAGCAACGACGTGCAGGCACAGCCTGACAGCCCAAGCGCGAAGGAAAACGACTCCGACCAGGACACTACAAACGATCTCCTCACGGCCCTCCGCAGCAGACAGCCTATAGAATTAATAAGATCAAAGACTGCTTCGGCGGCTCGGCAACAGTCTGTCGCTGGCGACTGTCCGCTGTCAGAGAACTGTGCGACTGGTGTAGCAGCGTAGCAAAACCCGTGATTTGCTTCAAACTTTAAGGCTAAGGCTTAAACAAGCTAAAGATCTCAACGAGCCTCGCGAGACAGCATGCGCAGCTTGAGTACGCTGCACTCCAGATGGTTGATCTTGGCTGTTTGGGATCATTAGCCTCATCCTCGATTTTGGCATTTCGGGCGGAAGGGTTCGCAGCTTAATTAGAGCACACAGGCATCATGTGTCCTTCCGGAACTTGGATTCCAAGAAGTATGTCACTCCTTTGCGGAGCATGGTTGTTCTCCTCGTGTATTGCCGAGGCAAGGGTGTGCAGGCTGTGCTTTTCTAGGGTCGACAGGTCGCATGCGCATTCAAAAATTCAAAGGCCACCTCCCCACTTAATATAGGTGCCACGTGGGGCTTCCTTATTATAACTACCGTATAATAGTATAATGTGCCCAAAAACCCCATCTAATTATGAAGGATCGAGGCCCCTACATTACGGAGCTGTCTCTAAACCCTTTCTGCACCTCCCGACCGGGATCTCTCCTCCACGAGTGCTAGGGCGGCGGTCTGCTCCGCTCGAGTCGACTTCGGGCTTGGGCCGCGGCGCCAGTGTGGGCAGGACGGAAGTTGGAGACCTATAGATGAGAGGTGAAAGACTTCTTATACTTATAATTGAGGGGCTTCAGATGTGTATGTGAGCGGGTGGAGGCGGTGGAAAGCAGTGGACTTCTTCATGACTTGGTGTCAGGGCTCTCTAGACTCTAGAATTGCTTCGTGCTTGTGTTTGGGCGCACCTTTGTCTCGAATCGCAGTTGTGCTGCAGCAGCGTCTTCCACCCTCCTGACTCCTTGCGTCAATAGCTGAAGCTCATGGAGAGATTCCTTCATCGACGATGGGATGGGCGGATCGTGGATGTGGACGAATTTCAAGTGGCCAAAGCTTTGCTGGACGGCGAAACGGACCTCCTTAGCCAGGAAATCGACTCCGAGGAACACCTCTTTGTCTTGTGCTGTCGCTTCGGCCACGAAAGCACGGCTGCAGCCATGATCTCATACAGAGTGCCAGGGTGCGTTTTCAAGGGTCCGCACAGCTTGCGGCGTCCTGCTGTTGAACCTCATGAACCACAAGCAGGCTTCGTTGGTGTGTGTTGGTCCAGAAAGTGTAGGGACTGGAGTTGCAGATGTTGCAGCTGGGGCTTTCCGGAGGATGCGGGTGTTTGGATGGAGGATTGGGATGCAAGTCTCCAGAATGCAAAGAGCGCAGCAGAAAGCGCGTCTGCAACGCCTGTTGTCCGCGCCTTGCTGGAGGCGTTCCGCTCCCAGGTGGCTTGCGAAGGCATCGCAACGGAGGACGCCACAGCCTACCTGCTCGACGTTGCCATCCTCGTGGGGGATGCCGAGCTCGCTAGATCCTGTGCCCAGCACTGCACCCGCTTCCCGCTGAGGCGCTGGAGATTGGATGAGTTTGTTGTTGTTCCTGAATGCCACCCTCATTATTATGGTTTCAGGATCATCAAAGATGGCCCGTGTCTTCAAGCAGAGATCCTGGAGAAAGACATCCTGATTGCAGCTTTGGCCGCCGGCCTGGAGCTCGAGCAGCTGACCCACGGCAATCCCGATCCCGTTTCGCTTGCGGAAGCCGTGGTACTTTCTGCAGATGAGGAGCTCTGGCAGCGAATCGAAGGCCTTCAACTGCGGCTCGGTCCGGGGCCAATGCACGAAGACGGAAACGACATGGCCCGTTATCTCCTCGAGCACTCCGGCGGCTTTCTCGGGCTGAGCCCGAAGCTCCTGCATCGGGCCAAGAGGGCCGGTCTCGCACTGAGCTCCTTTCAGATGAAGGTTGACTTCAATTGCGAATGTGGCGGTTGTGCCTTTGGGCGACCCGGCTTCTGTTTCTCATTGCTGGACTTGGCGATACTCTTCGGTCAAAGCGACTGCAGCCGACTCTGTGGGGCGATGGACATCGCGGCGACGAAGCTTACGATGCGAGCCAGCCTGGAAGCGATGCCTGTCGTGTGGGAGGACCTCGATCCGTGCGAAGACTGTGGCTGTAGCTCGTGGTATCTTGAAGAGTGTCTTTGGGAAAACTTCAGCTTCTCCGCCGACAGCATCGCATCGCTCCCGGAGCGCCAAGCGGCAGCAGCCGAGGCGCTTCGCACAGCATTGCCTGTGTCCCTCCGACGGACCGCAAGCTCTGCAGGCTTCGGGCTCTTTCAGGCCATGCGCAAGTGGGCTCAAGGGAAGCATGTGCCAGTAACTTTGGTGAATTTGGTGTTGACATTCGCGGCAGGCCGGCCAGCACTGGCCCAGGTTTGGGAGGGGCATGGGGAGCAGCTTCCGCCCTTGGGCCACTGGTGGGAAGAGACGGTGCCCAGAGAGAGCCAAGATCCGAAGAGTCTCCAATCGGTGCTGGAGGTTACAGAGCCACATGGGCAAAATGAGAGTGGTGGAGTCACGGAGGGGCCTCCTGCATCTTCCAGCAACGAAGCGCATGCACATGCTGACGGCACAAGCGAGAAAGCCAGCGGTCCAGACCAGGACACCACTAACGATCTCCTCACGGCCCTCCGCAACAGCAAGAGCGACAATCCACCATTGAGTGGTGATGGCGTGGTGATCTTTCGAATCACGCGCAGGGCCCATGCGGAGGAGGTCAACGCCGTCCTCTTCGATGCGACCGGGCCCTTGTGGCCCTTGCACCGCCGTGTGCTGGAGGCCGGCTGTGAGGTGGCGCCGGAATGGTCTCCCATCAAGGCCCTCTTCGTGCCCTTGACCCATCCACAGCTGCAAGAGCTTTCGCAGGGCCGCCTTGCCGGAGAAGTGGAGTGTTACAGTAGCCATTCCATGTCATATAGCTTTATCCGTTTCTTATTCTTCCTATGTTATTTTTCAATCAATATTGTCAAGCAGTACAGTCGTAGAAGTATTATATGTATAATCAGTTGGTTTGTAGTATGGATGCGGTATACATGATTGGCTAAAGCTTTGCTTCATGCACTGCAGGAACATTCTTACGTCATGGTTCTTGAGTGGAGTTTGATACTGTGCTGATCCCGAGGAAGCATCTACGAGTTGGGGAAAGCAAATCTGCTGGCCCTCCAGTCGGACGCCGAGCTCCTCATTGAGGCATTCAGCGAGCTTCAGCGCAAGGTACGCCCGAGGCTCCGCCGCGAAGCTCCGCGTGTGGATGAGGAAGACGACGGAGCTGCAGACGACGAGCCTTTCCTTGTGGTGGAGGGTGGAATCCGGACGGATTCCAGTGTGTTATACCCTGTCTGGGCAGGGGAGGCTTGATGTGAGACGATCTGCACATCACGGTGTACAGCCACCCGGGAGGTGAGATGCCTGCTAAGGGAGGTGGTGCCCCTAGCCGTAGCCGAAATACAGTAAGTGCGGGTGTTTATATGTCGTGAAGGACGGGGCTTGGAACGAACTGTTCCCGGACAGTACGTTCGCCTTCAAGCTTTACGGCTTATCTTCTGAGGCATAGTTTGTCGGCTGAGGCTAGCGGCTATGTCATGTCAAGTGTTTTCGAGTGAGACCCTTGGCATTGGCACAGATCACAGCTTCGGGGCATTTTATGCTGCAGCCGGAACCTTTGAAAGACATGCTCCTAGCACAAACAGTGGGATCCGATACATGGTAGCTTGCTCCAGTAATTTCAGAAACCAATAAAAAAAATTCTTGCCGTGATCCTTAGAAATGCAAACCCGTGCATCTCCTTCACTCCTCCACGTTCGCGGCAGCAGCTCCGCCGGGAATTTGCTAAGAGCGGCGTTCGATCCTCCGCGGTCCCAAAGCCCAGCGGTCCTGTTGCCTTGGCATTGGGACCACGAGGTCGAGCCTCGACTCGCAGCCGTTCACATGTACAGCACAATGCACAATGCAGGGGGGGGCGAGAGAGCAGTGAACGTTGCTTTAAAGTCAAATGCATACTGTTACTATCTGCAATATATTTCATGAACTGCAGAGGAGCGGCTCTGATTATACTTTGCGGTTGTTGCGTTCCCACGTTCGCACCTCTCACTCACGGAACGCATGCTTGCAGGTTGTTGTATGCCGATGACATGATTTCGCCACATATTTGGAGGCCGTTACTGCACGAGGTCTGCCATGCATGGGCCTAGTCGTTGTCCTGGCTCACACCTCGCAGCCCGAGATGTTCTGCAGCCGCTTGAGCCATCGGCGAATGGCTTTCCTTCCTTCGAATTGAATTGCTTCAGAGCCTGCCACATGCAAAAATGCCTTCGCAAGCAGATCCGCCAACGGCTCAAACGCCAGCTCCTACTTTTAGTCGGCTTTGTTCTGTTGCTTCGCTGGCGTCCTGAAGCCACGAGTCCTGTTGCTTTGGTGGATGGGCACCGGCCCGGCGACTGGCATGTGTCCGACGAAACAAGCGTGTGAGCCCGCACAGGTTTGCATCGTGCGGATTCCCGTGATGCCATCCATTGTTAGCTGCTGTTCAGCACATCTCTGCATTCCCCTGCCACGAGAGACTCGGAGTTGTCAAGTTTGACACTTCACCGCCCCATCGCCAGGACTCTCAGCCTGGAAGCCTGCAGGCTTGGGACCTGCTTCATGGGAGCGGGCCTCAGTCTCCGGGCTTCAGGGCTCTCATTCAAGATCAAGGCTTGTGGTGGGCGGGATTCCGATGCCTCAGTGCAAGGCATTGGTTCATAAGACCTGGTCAGGGACTCAAAGCCCTCTAAAAAGCGCATAAGGATTCCCCTTAAAGGTTCCTTTAAGGGTATTATAGGGCTAAGGATTCCCCTTAAGGGTTCCTTCATAGGGTTCTATAACATGCGGACCCTCGAAACAGGAGTTCTCAACACGAAAGGCTCGGCCGGCGGCCCGCGAAACCCGGGCCTTAAGGCGGCTTCGACTCGAGGCTTCCGCTGCCTCCGCACTCTGTCCGTCTGGTTTAGGGTTTGGGGTTCAGGGTTAATTTTAGGGTTCGGAGTATATAAACTATCTTGTCCGATTTAAGGGTTTATAGGGTTCAGGGTTCAGGGAATACACTCAAAAGGGATTTCTTAGGGTTTGTCTGGTGTGCGGTTGTGTTGCACCGGTTCTTGACAGAAGGTCGGGCGCAAGGCAGTTCTATTCGTATGGTTAAATAGTCGTGGGGCACCAGACCGAGTACATCTTGGGTTCAGTGGGAAAGGCGTCAACCATCTCGCGTATAGAGTTATGGCTGTACGACGAGGACACGGACGAAGGGTTTGTCGGAAGAATGTCATGTCTTATGCTGTTTAGGACGTACAGGGTTTGCGAGCGCATGCACGAAGACCTTGCAGGGATACTGTTTCTGGCAGACGGGGCATGAATTCTGGGGTGTGGAACGAGATGTACAGTAGTTGGTTTTGGGTCGGGTGCCGTTACACCAAATCTCAGAATCAATGTTCTCTAGCATGAGGTTGCAGTTTACCGTTTCAATGCAGGTGTGAACGGAACACGGCATGACACATGCAACTTGAGTTTATCGCTGTCTCATAGGTCCTGCGGGATCCTGTGGGCAGGTGAACGTCAGGAGGGACCCTGAGCGGGTAGGAGAGAAATAGATGCGCAAAGGGAGAGAGGGAGAGATCGAAGGAGCTCCACTGCGAGTAAGGTCCTTCTTCGAGAGATAGCTGTGCAGGTATGAACTAATTTTAATTAGTATGCTATCATTAGATTCCTAGATGTGCGAGGGTCGCTAAACGTATTAAGCATGTTTGCGGATACACCCTTCACCACGTCCTACACACCTCTGCGGCATCTGCGGATCTCCGAAGGCTGGCACGGCTGTGGATCTGTGCAGCTTCCCTGCTCCGTCGCGCATGGAGGCCATCCGGGTAAGACCAGGGCAAGGAAACGATTTGTATAGGAGGTTTAGGCCCGAGTTGGGCGCTCTGCAAGCTTACGAGGTACTGAGCTGTCTGCAAGGCCTGTGTTTGCGGTGGGATGGCCTCTCGAGCCGCTTGGGTGCCTTTATCTGTGCTGTTGAAGGGGTGGCTACAGGAATCTGTGGTGAAGAGTGAGTGCTCCGCCGACTCCAAAATAGCTCTTTGTTCTTCGTGGCGGCGGGTGAACGCATGATTGTGGGTGTTCCATGCAACAATGCAGAGATGTCCTGATTTTTGTTGTGCTGCGCAGTAGTGGAGTGAAAACTATTTTGAGTGCTGCTTTGGAGATGAAATGTGCTTGCAGTGTCCCATCTGTCTGCTCTCAGAACCAAACGGCAGCACCTTCCTGTCGCCGCAGGTGCCCGAGGCAAGTCGCCTCTCCGTCGGAGTCGATGCAGGACTATACCCAGAGAGTTGCGAGAGGCAGGCGTTCTTGTGATCGTATACTCACATGTATGAGCACGAGCATCCTAGCTCGGGAGTTTCGAGGTTAGAACGGCAATGACTTCGGCCTCGGCATCGAATGCAGCCAGAGCACTGCTGCGGCACTGATTTCGTACGGGGTGCCAGGATGCGTTTTCAAAGGTCTCCGCAGCCTGCCGCCTCCTACCCCTGCACCTGATCCGCAAGCAAAATCAAGACATGATCATGTTTGTGCATGCATATGCAAGGGCTGGATGACTTGCAGCTCATGCAGCTGGGGCTTGCCAGAGGATCAGGGTGTTTGGACAGAAGATTGGTATGCAAGCCTCCATGATGCCAAGAATGCCGCGAGAAGCTCAGCTGCGATGCCCGTTGTTCGCAGCTTGCTGGAGGCCTTGCGCTCCCAGGTGGCCTCTCCAAGCATCGCCGCCGAGGAGGGCTTGGCCTACCTGCTCGATGTTGCGATCCTCCTTGGGGACGCCGAGCTCGCCAGATCCTGTGCCACGCACTGCACCCGCTTCCCACTGCGGCGATGGAGATTCCAGGAGTTCGCAAGGCTTATAGTTGATTTGCCGCGTCTTCGAGCAGAGATCCTGGAGAAAGACATCCTGATTGCAGCTCTGGCCGCCGGCCTGGAGCTCAAGCATCTTACCCACCGTTTCTACGACGATTCCGTTTCGCTTGCGGAAGCCGTGGTGCTTTCCGGAGACGCGGAGCTCTGGCACCGAATCGAAGGTCATCAACTGCAGCTCGGGCCCTGGCCAGCGCATAAACACTATAACAACATGGCCCATTTTCTCCTGGAGGATTCCGGCGGCAAAGTGAAGCTGAGCTCGGAGCGGATGCATCGTGCCAAGAGGGCGGGTCTCGCACTGAGCTCGTTTCGGGCCAGGGTTGCCTTCCGCTGCCAGTGTGGGATCGGGCCGTGCGTTGGCTTCTCATTGCTGGAAATTGCGATCTTTTTCGGGCAACGCGACTGTGCCCGACTCGATGGATCGATGGACATCGAGGATCGAGAGCTTGCGCCAGAGGCGAGCCTTGAAGCGATGCCTCCGGTGTGGGAGGACCATATCGTATGGTGCGACAACTGTGGCCCTACCTCGTGGCGATTTGCAGATGCATGGGCCGATGAGTGGGTCGCATCGCTCCCGGAGCGCAGGGCTGTTGCAGCCGACGCGCTTTGCGCCGCCCTGCAGGCATCCCTCCACCGAACCGCAAGCTCTGCAGGATTGGGTCTCTGTCAGGCCATGCGCTCCTGGGCCCATGGGAAGTCGGTGCCAGCGGCTGTGGTGAAGTTGGTTCTAGCTTTCGCGGCAGCGCGACCATCGCTTCTGCAGGCCCTGGGGGGACGTGAGGGGGAGCTTCCTTTCATGGGCCACTGGTGGGAAGAGTCGATGCACAGAGAGGGCGCAGACTCTCAGAGCCCCCAGCCAGATGCTGGGTCACAGGTTCAAGGAGAGAGTTTGGGTGTCGCAGGAAGTCAGCCTGCGGACGCCGCTGGCTCTTCCAGCAACGACGTGCAGGCACAGCCTGACAGCACAAGCGAGAAGGAAAGTGGCCCCGACCCGGACACGACGAACGATCTCCTCACGGCCCTTCGCAACAGCAAGAATGACAATCCGCCTTTGAGTGGCGACGGCGTGGTGATCTTTCGGCTCACTCGCAAGGCCAACGCGGAGGAAGTCAATGCCATCCTCTTTGATGTGACCGGGCCCCTGTGGTCCTTGCACCGCCGTGTGCTGGACGCCGGCTGTGAAGTGGCGCCGGAGTGGTCTCCCATCAAGGCGCTCTTTGTGCCCTTGACCCAGCCGCAGCTGCAAGAGCTCACACACGGCCACGCGGCCACGAAGTTAACGCCACCTGTTCTTATAAGGTCGCAAGATAGCGCCCCCGTGGTTTAGAAACATCTCACTTTCATGATGGGGTGTGTAGGTATGTTTCATGCGAGCCATATAGTGCAAGGGTGTTCTTTGCCTTTCCGTGTCAATAGACATAGCAATGCCGAACTCCGAACTCGAGGCAACATCTACGAGTTGGGGAAGGTGCACCTGCTGGCCCTCCAATCGGATGCCAAGCTTCTCACAGAGAGCTTTAATGAAGAGCTTCAGCGCAGCGTTCGTCCCAAGCTCCGCCGTCAAGCTCCACGCAGGGACGATGAAGAAGCGGGTGCACCGGACCACGAACCCTTGCTCGTAATGATGGGCGATGTCCATCATGGTGTCCGAACGGATTCCAATGTAGGCTATCCCGTCTACGAGACCTGATGTGAAACCCCACTATGGACATCGCTGGTGGATGAATTGATATCCGCGTTGTTAGTGTCAATATCTTCTCTAAACCCACCGCCTTTTTGATAGACTGCTGAATGTAACCCCTTTATACATCCTGCAGCCTCCCCGAATGTCTGTGGCACCGTTAGCCGGGTTACCGGGAATTTGCTCTGAGCGCCTGCGCCACGGCCCGGAAGCCACGGGTCTTGTTGCCCTGGTGGAGGTGCCGAGCCGTGGAGCTCCGACATGCATCGCATCCATGTACAGCCGTACAGCCCAGGGAGGGCGAGAGAACTTCTGTAAAAGGTTCATCATTCTTGTCATGAGCAAAAATCAGACTGCCGACGCGCGATACGTCGCTATCTCTTGCCCATGTCCCGCCCATGTGAACCATTTCGAGCAGTTTTGCAGGCTCAGTTCTTGTGAGTGCTTCGGTACCATGAGCCTTGTTGCTCTGGAGCTCAGAAGCCTCGCCAGACAGCCTTAGTGTCCCGATTTACTAAGTGCATTTCACACCGCGAAGCTCGAGACCCTTCGACATCGTGTGAACCATCGGTGGATGTCATAGGATACATGCACGTATAGTCTTTATCTTCTGATCGAACATTCGGAGGGAGAAGAGAGCTCCAGATGGGTGCTGATATAGCATCATGAATCTGTCGGCGCTGGTGTTTGTCTACACCTGAGCCCTGAAGCCACGAGCCCTGCTGCTCTGGCAGATGGGCGCTGCGACCGCCACGCTGCCGGTGCCGACGAAAAAGGGCTCGAGTGTGTGCGCGTGTCTGAAGATGCAACATGGAGCGGCGTTCACGTGCCGTTCTGTTCGCACACAGCTTCTTTTCGTCATTATGACCGTTCAAAACACGCTGTCTGAGTCTTTTGGATTCACTCCCTGCTTGGACTCCTGCCAGGATGCCTGGAAATCACGGTGCAGGGGCGAGACTGGGATGGAGGCATGCATCGTTATTGGTCTTCCAGCTTCGACTGGGTTTTCTGGTGTACTATACAAGGTGTTACAGTGGCTTAAATAAATACCAATACAGTTTGGGGGGGGTTCCTGATTATTATTGTATAGTGGGCCCCAAAACCCTATTCTAATTATTAAGGCCCCTTTATCATGCTCCAAGCCGCCTCGGGAGGTGCAGCTTTGCCCCGAAGGAGTCGCCGAGCATCTGCATCATTTCAGCACGAAGGCGCATTCCGCAACCAGTTCATGTGAGTTCTGTGTCGGCTGTTGATGCTGTTGGGTAGGTTTGGGGTTGAGTGGTGAAGGCTTCGGGGCTTCAATGGGGAGAAGCTGCCGTGAGAGACTTGCGGAGCGCGGAGCCTGTATGCTGCAGTATGTTTTGTAAAGCAGAAACTACCGTGTCGTAAGTCGTAAGTTGTCACTTTTTGAGGCCGTCTGTTTAGAAGTGGATTCAGCTGGAAAGGACCCGAGACCTTGCATGAGGTGCTTGCCTGAGTCTCATGGCCGAGCCCTGCGACCTCAGGCCGACAGGTCGTACGGGCGGATGCCCCACATGTACCTCACGCTGCCGCAGGATGTGTCGGCTGAAGGCTTCTCGGGATGCAATAAGGAGGCTATTTGGCATTCGTGGGTGCATCGTCAGCTGCAGTGGAAAGCTAACCGTTCTCAGAGTTTCTGCTGTTTTGCTGTCGGAGGTTTCGAGGTCGATACAAGATTCAATCATTGGGCTCAGCCTGTGCAAGAGACGGTAAATTTCAGACCTAGCTTGGGCAGAAGCTGGAACACTGTTGTTCGCATCGCTTGTAAAGACTTGCAGGCTCGAATATGCATGTTCGTCGTACAAAACCCGTTAGTCTTGGACCCCTGGATGATTCAGGATTGGTGTTTGGTGCAGGGTAAAGGCAGTTTGAAGCACTTTGGTTTACATCTTCGTCTTCGCCGGTGTTCTGTCAAAATCGGTTCTGTCCCATTCCATAACAGACCCAGATAAACTCCACCAGCACCCATCGCCCACTCGCAACACTCAACTGCAGCTTTTGGCAGCTTGCGGTTTGGGGCTCAGGGTCTCGGCTCCAGAAGATAAGTGGCATTACCCTCAGGGTCATAAGTACTGATGAGGTTAATGCTTACTTAAAGCATATGGTACATATATATATATATATATATAGAGAGAGAGAGAGAGAGAGAGAGAGAGAGAGAGAGAGAGGCTCCTGGCATGGAAGCCCTGCGTCCTACTTCATAGGTACTTGGAGGACCCTTTGGGTTTCGGGAGCTTCCTTGCAAGACCTGGGAAGTTGCCAAGAAGGGCTCCGCAAATACATTAGGGCCTACTTATAGCTTGTTTGTGCCAGGTGGCATCTTATGAAAGAGTCATAGACAGTATGAAAGCCCATGAAAGGCGTGCAGAAGCCCTTCAAACTTTCTATGACCGAAGTTAAATTCCCAAGACAGCGGTGTCAGGCCGCCCACTGGGTCCGGCAACATCAAGAAAATTTAGGGGTACGGTTTCAGTGTCCGGGAATCGTTGTTTAAATGCTTTACTGGAATAGGTTCTCCTTGTCTTGAGTGCAAGATTTGTCTATGCCATCGCCGTCGGCTTTGCCGCAGGGTCACGTGTCAGGGTTCTTTCAATGCCTCCTGTGCTTCGAGCTACCTTTGTTAACTGTGCCTGGCACTCGAGGCATGATTTCCGGACGAGATTTCTTCCGCAAGCAGGCCTGCGTGGTGACATTTTCCAGGGCGCGGGCGCGGGTTATGCGGCTAAAGCCACCTGACTACATGCAAGGCGAAGGCTAGGCTTCTTGAGTGTGCCTTGAACGCATGTTTGGAGTTTTCCTTGTGGTTTGAGGTTGAAAGTTGAACATGACGTTCCAAGAAGGGTGTCGACTCCTTCGGAGTTCCGATGCCTCACTACCCGAGGCTTGCTTGAGATGAGAGTGGAGGCTGCAGGTGCACAGGTAGGGTTCAGAACGCGTCGCACTTTGCATCACTCGCTCTGACGTCCGTGCTTTTTTGCTTCGGCGTAAAGTGCGGAGCGTCCTCTTCACCAGCTGGCGTCCATGGAGAGGTTCGTCCGTCGCGGCCGGGATGGGCGGATTTTGGATGTGGACGAGGTCCAGGTCGCTAAAGCCCTGCTGGCAGGAGAGGCGGAGCTCTTGAGCCAGGAAGTCGACGGCGAGCACCTCTTCGATCTCTGCCTGCAGTTCGACCGCCAGAGCACCGCGGCGGCGATGATCTCGTATGAGGTGCCGGGGTGCTGTTTCAAGGGTCCTATCGGCATGTGGCCTCCACCGACAAAGACATGCCCTGTGCTTCGAAACAACGAGCAATCCACGAAGCCACCCATGGCCACTGCTCAACCACCGGCACAACCTTACCTTCGAACCTGCCTGTGCCGTGGCTGGGTCACCTGTGAAAGCTGTAGCTGGGGCTTTCCGGAGGAGGAAGGCCTTTGGATGGAGGACTGGGATGCACAGCTTCGCGATGCCAAAGAGGCGGCTGAAAGTGCGGCTGCAATGCCGGTGGTCAAAGCTGTGCTGGGGGCCTTCCGTTCCCAGGCGGCATTTCTAGGAATCGTCACAGAGGAAGCCATGGCCTACTTGCTCGACGTTGCCATCCTCATTGGGGATGCCGAGCTGGCCACGTGCTGCGCTGCGCACTGCACGCGTTTGCCGCTTCGACGCTGGAGATTCCAGGACTTCGCAACCACGGCTACAACCACCAGTGGCAAGTTAGCAGCCACCCGGACTCAGATCCGAGAGAAGGGGATCCTGACAGCAGCTTTGAAAGCGGGTGTTGGTCTTTGCGACCTGGTCGGCTACTTCGAGCGGTTGGTGCGGCATGAAGAAGGCGTGTCGCTGTTGGACGCCATCGCACTTTCCGAAGATTCCCAGCTCTGGTGCCAGGTCGAAAAGTTCAACCCACACCGGGAGCCCACCTCTGCCCATGAAAGTGTAAACAACATACAGCCAGGTTTCATCCTGTGTTGCATGAAGCCTGAGATGGGCTCCCGGCATGTGAGAAGCACCGCCTGCTGATGCCACTGCCACTGTGCAAGTCTTGCCTCCCCACATTAATTTGCTTTGTGCTGTGCGAAGATCGCGATCCCGAAGCCATTGGTCCTGTCGCCTTGGCAGAGGGAGTGCGAGGTGGCGCAGCCATGCAGCTCTGGATGTACAGCGAGAGGGGACCGAACCATACCGAAGCGGTTCAATGGGCGTATTCTGTAAGTCGCAAAAAAACGACCCAACAGCTAGGTGGGACAAGGCTCGACGAAAGTGTGATTCGTCCCCTCTTTTCCTCGGCAATGTGCCAAACACAGTCTATTCTATTCTTTTCTTTTCCGCCGTCGTGCGAGCTATCAGTGAGATCATCGCAAGGTTACATGCCGAGTCACGGAGTGAGGCGACCTCTGCAGATAGCTCAAGTGACAGCAGTGACAGCTTCACCGTCGGCCCTGGCCTCCCCTGTGCAATGCTTGGGTCCGGAAGCCACGAGTCGTGCTGCTCTGGCAGATGGGCGCAAGATCTGCTGCTGGCGCCAGGCCGAGAGAAAAAGGAATGCGACTGGCCCAATAACGCCCGCACGTCCGGAGAACGCGGGAGTGTAGTCTTCGTGTTCGTGCCACATGAAGCTACTACAGTCTACATTTCGCTTTACATATAAATATAAATACATATATATATATATATATATATACACACACATAATACTTATGTTTCTCCATGCGTCCTTGTCATGGTAGTGCAGTGTATGCTGCCACATGTATATCCTGTATACGGCTCTTTAGTTTGTAGCCTGTGTCAGGTTCTGCACCCAGCCCTCTTCAGATCTCCCTTATGGCCTCCCAGCAACATGTCCCACAGGCTCCGCTTCGGCTGAGAGGCGACGGCTGAAGACATCGTCAGATCCCTTCGAGGCCCCCAGGGCGCTTTTTGCTTCTCCCCCCCCTTACTTTTCCTGGCGGATGATCGAAGTGGGCGAAGAAACACGCTTTCTTTCCGTCGAGCTGTGTATTTTAAACTGAGAAAAGCCTGGGACATTACTATTGTGTGCTTGCATTGGGCTGCAGCTGTGTATCGGGCCTTCCCTTGCAGAGAGTCGCAGAGCCAGCGCGATGTGGCTGTGTCGGGTGTGTTTGGGCGATTGAGGAGTGATCCGCCCTCGCATCTTCCTGGTCACCGAGGCCCGAAGCGGTTGGGACCAAGCTGAAGGCTCTGGTTCAGGATTCAGGTGACCATTTGGGGCAGCACCGCCAGTTCACACAAGAGAACAGGAGCCTGCAATTAATCAGATCACATACAAGTACTGCTTCGGAGGCTCGGCAACAGCCTGTCCATGGCCGTCGTTTGTTTGCACTGTGGGCGGGATGCTGGACCACTTGTTCCAGGTTGCTTTACAGTCTGATGTCAGAGATCTGTGCGACTGGTGTAGCAGCGTAGCAACACATGTGATTTGCTTCGGTTCAAACTTCAAACCTTAAGTAAAGATCCCCATGACCCTTGCGAGACAACATGTGCAGCTTGAGTACGTCGCACTCCATAATGGTTGATATTGGCTGTTTGGGATCATATGAGGCTCAGCCTCGACTTAGGCATTTCAGGCTGAAGGGTTCGCAGCCCAGAGCAGAGCTTTGCGCATTCCTTGCGATCCAGGCATGGCGGTCCTCCACAAAATCGTCCAGGCTTTGGGTTTCTCTGCAGGGGATCTGCAACTATCCTGTTCGGGATCGATCGCGTGCAGGCTCTCAGGGCTTCCACTCAGCTCCTCCACTCCTCTGCTTCCGAGATGTTGCTTCTATAGACTTTAGCCACGTTCACAGGCATCATGTGTCCTGCCGGAACTTGGGCATGTCACTCCTTTTCGGGGCAAGGGTTGTTCTCCTTGTGTTTTTGTGCCGGGACAAGGGTGTGCAGGCTGTTTCTTTTCTAGGGGTCAACGAGTCGCATGCGCATTCACAGGCCACTTTCCCACTTCGTATAGGGACCTAAAAAATTACCAATATTTATTGTGGGGGTTCCTCTTTTTCATTGTATAGTATCATATTTGCCGAAAACCGTATTCTAATTATGAATCAGACCCCTAAATAACGGAGCTGTCCCCAAACCCTTTCTGCACCTCCCGGCCGGGATCTCTCCTCCACGAGTGTCAGGGCGGCGGTCCGCTCCGCTCGAGTCGCAGCCCAGTTGTTGGCAGGCCGGAAGTTGGGAGACCTATGATTTCTTGTGCTGAAAGAAACTCTTATGCTTAAGGACTTCAGATGTGTATGTGAGTTGGTGGAGGTTTCGAAAGCAGTGGACTTCTGCGCGACTTGGTGTCAGGGCTCTTTATAGAGACTCTGGAATTGCTTCGTGCTTGTGCTTGGGCGCACCTTTGTCTCGAATCGCAGTTGTGCCGCAGCAGCGTCTTCCACCCTCCTGACTCCTTGCGTCAATAGCTGAAGCTCATGGAGAGATTCCTTCATCGCGGACGGGATGGGCGGATCCTGGACGTGGACGAATTTCAGGTGGCCAAAGCTCTGCTGGCGGGCGAGACAGAGCTCCTGAGCCAGGAAGTCGATTCCGGGGAACACCTCTTTGACCTGTGCTGCCGCTTCGGCCACCAGAGCACTGCTGCAGCCATGATGTTATACCGAGTGCCAGGCTGTGTTTTCAAGGGTTCACGCAGCTTGCGGCCTCCTGCTGTTGAGCCTCCTGAACCACAAGCATACGTCCGTGTTTTCGGTAGAGTCTGCGTGTGCGAAGCCTGGAAGAGTATTACTTGCAGAAGCTGCAGCTGGGGCTTCCCGGAGGAGGAGGGGATTTGGATGGAGAATTGGAGTGCAGGTCTCCAGGAGGCCAAGAACGCGGCAGAAAGCGCGGCTGCAATGCCCGTTGTCCGTGCCTTGCTGGAGGCGTTCCGCTCCCAGGCGGCTTTTCAAGGCATCGCCACGGAGGATGCCGCAGCCTACCTGCTCGACGTTGCCATCCTCATTGGGGATGCCGAGCTCGCCAGATCCTGTGCCAAGCACTGCACCCGCTTGCCACTCCGGCGCTGGAGAATTCAGGAGTTTGTGAGCATCTACGAAGCCGATTACCTGTCTCGAGCAGAGTTCCTGGAGAAAGCGGTCCTGGTCGCGGCTTTGGCCGCCGGCCTGGAGCTCAAGCAGCTGACCCAAAGTATCCGTGGCCGTTCCGTTTCGCTTGGGGAAGCCGTCGTACTTTCCGGAGACGCGGAGCTCTGGCAGCGAGTCGAAGGCCTTCAGCTGCAGCTCACGGGGCCCTGGCCGACGCATCGAGAAGATGACGGCATGGCCGAGTTTCTCCTCGAGCGCTCCGGTGACAATCTCAGGCTGAGCCCCGAGCTTCTGCATCGGGCCAAGAGGGCTGGCCTCGCGCTGAGCTCGTTTCGGGCGCACGTTTGCTTCAACTGCCAGGGATGCGGCGACAACTGTTGGTATTCCTTCTCATTGCTGGACTTGGCGGTCCTCTTTGGTCAAAGCGACTGTGCCCGACTCTGCGGACCGATGGACATCGAGGCGACAAAGCTTACGCTGAAGGCGAGCCTTGAAGCGATGCCTCTTTGGGAGGACAATGGGTGCGGATACTGTGGTACTAGATCGTGGCGAATTGCCGATGAGTGGGTCGAGAGCATCGCATCGCTCCCGGAGCGCAGGGCTGCAGCGGCCGAGGCGCTTCGCGCCGCGCTGCAGGCGTCCCGCCGAAGGACCGAAGCCTGCCCTGCAAACTTCGGTCTCTTCCAGGCCATGCGCTGCTGGGCTCGAGGGAAGCTCGTGCCAGCGGCTTTGGTGAATTTGGTGTTGACTTTCGCGACAAGGAGACCATCGCTTCTGCAGGCCCTCGAGGGGCGTATGGGGGAGCTTCCTTCCTTGGGCCACTGGTGGGAAAAGTCGGAGCACGGAGAGCACCAAGATTCTGAGAGTGCCAAGCCGGATGCCGCGTCACAGGTGCAGGCTGAGAGTTTGGGTGTCGCAGAAAGGCCGCCTGCGGGCGCCGCTGCCTCTTCTAGCAACGACGTGCAGGCACAGCCTGGCAGCACAAGCGAGAAGGAAAACGGCTCCGACCAGGAAACCACCAACGATCTCCTCACGGCCCTCCGCAACAGCAAGAGCGACTGTCCACCATTGAGCGGCGACGGCGTGGTGATCTTTCGCATCACTCGCAAGGCCCACGCAGAGGAGGTCAACGCCGTCCTCTTCGATGCAACCGGGCCCTTGTGGTCCTTGCATCGCCGTGTGTTGGAGGCCGGCTGCGAGGTGGCACCGGAATGGTCTCCCGTCAAGGTGCTCTTCGTGCCCTTGACCCAGCCGCAGCTGCAGGAGCTCGCTCACGGCCGCCCGGCCACCAAGTCGGCATGTTGTGTGAGTACAACACGGCTGCATGGCATGTAAGGCTTTGGAGATACTCGTAAAATATACAACCACGAGCTTATGCTCCCTGCAACAGTATTCCGTGTTCTGGAGTGTGCTTGTTGCATAAACCGAAACCCAGGATCAAGCATCTACGAGTTGGGGAAAGCGAATCTGCTGGCTCTCCAGTCGGACGCCGAGCTCCTCACCGAGGCTTTCAGCGAACTTGAGCGCAAGGTACGCCCAAGGCTCCGCCGCGAAGCTCCTCGCTTGGATCAGGAAGGCGACGGAGCTGCAGACGACGGGCCTTTGCTGGTGGTGGAGGGTGGAATCCGGACGGATTCCAGCGTGGGCTACCCTGTCTACGCAGGGGAGGCTTGATGTGAGACGATTGCACATCACGGTGTACAGCCAGCCGGGAGGTGAGAGATGCCTGCTAAGGGAGGTGGTGCCCATAGCCGTAGCCGTAATACAGTAAGTGCGGGCTTATATATGTCGTGAAGGACCGGGCTTGGAACGAACTGTTCCCGGATACTACGTTCGCCTTCAGGCTTTATACAGCTTGTCTTCAGCTTGAGGCATAATTTGTCGGCTGAGGCTAGCGGCTATGTCACGTCAAGTGCTTTCGAGTCAGACCCTTGGCATTGGCACCAGATCACAGCTTCGGGGCATTTTACGCTGCAGCCGGAGCCTTTGAAAGACATGCTCCTAGCACAAACAGTGGGATCCGATACATGGTAGTTTGCTCGAGTAATTTCAGAAACCAATAGAAATTTCTTGCCGTGATCCTTAGAAATGCAAGGCCGCCCCCGTTTGCTTGCATCTCCTTCTCTCCTCCACGTTCGCGGCGCCAGCGCCGCCCGGGAATTTGCTAAGAGCGGCGTTCGATCCTCCGCGGTCCCAAAGCCCAGCGGTCCTGTTGCCTTGGCATTGGGACCACGAGGTCGAGCCTCGACTCGCAGCCGTTCACATGTACAGCACAATGCACAATGCATGGGGGGCGAGAGAGCAGTGAAAGTTGCTTTAAAGCCATTTCATGAACTGCAGAGGATCGGTTCTGATTATACTTTGCGGTTGTTGCTTCCCCACACTCGCCCCTCTCACTCACGGAACGTATGCTTGCAGGATACTGTATGCCGAGGACATGATTTCGCCACATTTTTGGAGGCCGTTACTGCAAGAGGTCTGCTATGCATTTGCCTAGTCGTTGTCCTGGCTCACACCTCGTAGCCCGAGATGTTCTGCAGCCGCTTGAGCCATTGGCGAATGGTGTAACAAAAGTTCTCCTTCGTTCGAATTGAGTTGCTTCAGAGCTTGCCACATGCAAAACTATCTTCAGAGGCAGATCCGCCAAAGGCTCAAACGCCAGCTCCTATACACTTAGTCGGCTTTGTTCTGTTGCTTCGCTGGCGTCCTGAAGCCACGAGTCCTGTTGCTTTGGTGGATGGGCACCGGCCCGGCGACTGGCATGTGTCCGACGAAACAAAGCGTGTGAGCCCGCACAGGTTTGCATAGTACGGATTCCCGTGATGCCATCCATTGTTAGCTGCTGTTCAGCACATCTCTTCATTCCCCTGCCACGAGAGACGCGGAGTTGTCAATTTTGACACTACACCACCCCATCGCCAGGACTCTCAGCTTGGGACCTGCTTCATGGGAGCGGGCCTCAGTCTCCGTGCTTCAGGGCTTTCATTCAAGATCAAGGCTTGTGGTGGGCGGGATTCCGATGCCTCAGTGCAAGGCATTGGTTCATAAGACCTGGTCAGGGATTCAAAGCCCTCTAAAAAGCGCATAAGGATTCCCCTTAAAGGTTTCTTTATAAGGGTATTATAGGGCTAAGGGTTCCCCTTAAGGGTTCCTTCATAGGGTTCTATAACATGCGGACCCTCGAAACAGGAGTTCTCAACGTGAAAGGCTCGGCCCGCGGCCCGCGAAACCCGGGCCTGGGCGGCTTCGACTCGAGGCTTCCGCTGCCTCCGCACTCTGTCTGTCTGGTTTAGGGTTTGGGGTTCAGGGTTAATTTTAGGGTTCGGGCTATATAAACTATCTTGTCCGGTTTACGGGTTCAGGGTTCAGGGAATACACCCAAAAGGGAATAATTAGGTTTCGTCTAGTGTGCGGTTGTGTTGCACCGGTTCTTGTCAAAAGGTCAGGCGCAAGGCATTTCTGTTCGCATGGTGTTACATTATTCTCCGGGGGCTTGGGTTCAGTGGGAAAGGCATTTACCAACCATCTCGCGTATAGAGCTATAGCTGTACGGCGAGGACACGGCTGCAGGTTTGTCGGAAGAATGTCATGTCTTATGCTGTTTAGGGTTTAGGACGTACAAGGTTTGCGAATGTATGAGCACGAAGACCTTGCAGGGATACTATTTCTGGCAGACAGGGCGTGAATTTTGGGGTGTGGAACGAGATGAACAGTACTTGGTTTTGGGTCGGGTTGCCTTACACCAAATCTCAAAATCAATGTTATCTAGCGCATGAGGGTCGCAGTACCGTTTCAATGCAAGTGTGAACGGTTGTCGCTGTCTCTAGGGCCTGCGGGATCCTGTGGGCAGGTGAATCTCAGGAGGGACCTTGAGCAGGTAGGAGAGAAATAGATGCGTAAAGGGAGAGAAGGAGCTCCAATGCGAGTAAGGTCTTTCTTCGAGAGATAGCTGTGTAGGTATGAACTAATTAGTAAGCTGTCGTAAATAGATTCCTAGATGTGTGAGGGTGGCTGAACGTTGTTTGCGGATACACCCTTCATCACGTCCTAGCACCTCTGCGGTATCTGCGGATCTCCGAAGGCTGGCGCGGTTGTGGATCTGTGCAGCTTCCGGCTCCGTCGTGCATGGAGGCCATCCGGGTAAGACGAGGGCAAAGATACGATTTGTATAGGAGGTTTAGGCCCCGAGTTGGGCGCTCTGAAGCTCACGAGGTACTGAGTTGCCTGCGGGGCCTGTTTCCGAAAATAGGGGACCCTAATATGGTACCCTAAATAGTAGGATCCTTATTATGGAGGGTGAGATGGCCTCTCGGCCTCTCGAGCCGCTTTGTTGCTTTTACCTGTCCTGTCGAAGGGTTTTTCTACAGGAATCTGTGGTGAAGAGTGAGTGCTCCGCCGACTCCAAAATAGCTCTTTGTTCTGGGTTGTTGGCGGGTGTTCCATGCAACAATGCAGAGATGTCCTGATTTTTGGTGTAGTGGAGTGAAAACTATGTCGAGTGCTGCTTTGGAGATGAAATGTGCTTGCAGTGTCCCAGCTGTCACTGCTCTAAGAACCAAACGGCAGCACCTTCCTATCGCCGCAGGTGCCCGAGGCACGTCGCCCATCCGTCGGAGTCGATGCAGGACTATACCCAGGGAGTTGGGAGAGGCAGGCGTTCTTGCGGAAGCAAGGCTTCGAGTTGCGATTGTATACCCACATGTATGAGCACGAGCATCCTAGCTCGGGAGTTTCGAGGTTAGAACGCCAATGACTCGGCCTCGGCATCAAATGCAATGCAACACTGCACGGCAGCATAGACGGGAAGACTCCACGAGTGTGATATTCCTCATGCTGTTCTTCGAATTGCAGTTTGCAGGGCAGTTGGCCGCCCTGTGCCTGTAGCCGATGTCCATGGAGAGAGTCGTCCACCGTGGCAAAAGGATGGGCGGATTATAGCCGCGGACGAATTTCGGGTGGCCATAGCCCTATATACGCAAGATCAATCGCACATCCAGGTTTACGAAGCAAGCAGCCCCAATGCCGCCACGTGTTCGAGCGATGAGAAAGGCTCGCCCTCAACTAGCACTTACACCACCGCCTGCACCTGGTCTCTTGCCATGGCTAAGAGTCCCTCAATCCGACCAAGCCCCGATGTGAGCACGAGCCACATCTGTGGACAAATCCGCTACATCAGGTAGCAATGTGCTGTAGGGAAACACATACATTTGAAATTGCGGCTGCCTGCAATTGCTGTTTTGTCCAGCCGAGCAAGAAAGGGCGGCTCGACCGCATGGGGAGACGGCACTCGGCACACGAGTGAAGTGGATGGGGCATGGGCCATGGGCCTATGTTGTTATAGTGGGTTGCCGTTAGGCTCCAGGTTGAATTGAAAGCCAGGTTGCTGACTGATCATTGAATCGAAGGATTGTCTTTACCAGCATGTTTGTTTTAGTTGTCGCTCTGGTCACACTTCGAGCTTGTGGGGTGCAGTGCCTCTCCAGGACTCTTGAAAACGAGACGCCTGCATCCTCCACTCCTCTGCAGCAAGCACGCTCAAATTGCTAGAAGCCTGCTTTACCAGACTGTGTAGTACCTTACTAGCTCCCAAATTTGAAATCTAGGTCAAGCTCAAAGCATTTCACCAGTTTCCATGGTCGCTACAGTGAGAGTGACTTCTCTTGCGCACCTCCAAAGCCATAAGCATGGTATGGCGTGAGTGCAGCTGGTATGATGTGTGTTTCTTGCACAACCAAGCTTGAAGCAAGGAGGCTGACAACATGACGAGCTGACAAGATTTGATTCTGGTGCTGGGCTCTACAAGCCTTTTGCATGTTTTGTTCTGAACCTATTCTGCAAAGGAGCAGTCATCATATCTGTTATGTTCTCCCATGCCGCAATGCTTGCAGCAGCATCTAGCTAGCCGGCCAGCCGCCCTCCTTGTGCAGCCGACGTTCATGGAGAGATTTGTGCACCGTCGCTGGGATGGGCAGATCGTGGGCGTGGACGACTTTCAGGTGGCCAAAGCCCTTCTGGATGGAGACGTGGGGCTCCTGAGCCAGGAAGTCGATTCCAAGCACCTCTTCGATTTGTGCCTTCACTTCGGCAGCCAGAGCACTGCTGCCGCACTGATCTCGTACGGGGTGCCAGGATGCGTTTTCAAAGGTCTCCGCAGCCTGCCGCCTCCTACCCTTGCACCTGATCCGCAAGCAGAATCAAGACATGATGATGTTTTCGCATGCAGATGCAAGGGCTGGATGACTTGCAGCACATGCAGCTGGGGCTTGCCAGAGGATCAGGGTGTTTGGACAGAAGATTGGTATGCAAGCCTCCATGATGCCAAGAATGCCGCGAGAAGCTCAGCTGCGATGCCCGTTGTTCGCAGCTTGCTGGAGGCCTTGCGCGCCCAGGTGGCCTCTCCAAGCATCGCCGCCGAGGAGGGCTTGGCCTACCTGCTCGATGTTGCCGTCCTCATTGGGGATGCCGAGCTCGCCAGATCCTGTGCCAAGCACTGCACCCGTTTGCCGCTCCGGCGCTGGAGATTCCAAGAGTTTGTGAGGATCGTGGACGATGACTTCCCGTGTTTTCGAGCAGAGATGCTGGAGAAAGACGTCCTAGTCGCGGCTTTGGCCGCCGGCCTGGAGCTCAAGCAGCTGACCAACCATTTCTACGGCGATCCCGTTTCGCTTGCGGAAGCCGTGGTGCTTTCCGGAGACGCGGAGCTCTGGCACCGAATGGAAGGCCATCAATTGCAGCTTGGGCCTTGGCCAGCGCATACATCAGAACGACGCATGCTGGGTGAAAACGAGATGGCCCAGTTTCTCCTCGAGCGCTCCGGCGTCCAATTCACGCTGAGCCTTGAGCGGCTGCATCGGGCCAAGACGGCCGGCCTCGCACTGAGCACGTTTCGGGCGCTGGTTCCCTTCGACTGCCAGGGATGCGGTGCCGGTCTGGAATTTCCGTTCACATTGCTGGATTTGGCGATTCTCTTTGGTCAAAGCGACTGTGCCCGACTCTGTCAGGCGATGGACATCGAGGCGACAGGGCTTACGCTGCGAGCGAGCCTCGAAGCGATGCCGCTGGTGTGGGAGCTCGAACCGGGGTGCGAACTTTGTAGCAGTACATCGCATGAACTTAGAGGTGATTTTGCCGAGAGCATCGCATCCCTCCCGGAGCGTCGTGCTGCAGCAGCCGCAGCGCTTCGCCCCGCCCTGCGGGCATCCCTCCGAAAGACCACAAGCTCTGCAGGCCTCGGACTCTTTCAGGCCATGCGTTCCTGGGCCAGAAAGAAGCGGGTGCCAACGGCGTTGGTGAAGTTGGTGCTGGGTTTCGCGGCAGAGCGACCACAACTTCTGCAGGCCCTCCAGGGACGTCAAGGGGAGCTTCCTTTGCAGGGCGACTGGTGGCAGGAGTCGGGGCACGATGCTGCGAGCCAGAGTCCACAAGAACCGGATGATGCCTGTGTGCAAGCACGGCCGTCCGAAAGTGCTGCGGCTGTGCGGTCTTCATTCGAGAACCGTAGCGACCCGTCGGCCGCCGGCTCCTCCACGGCAAATGCTGACACTCCGAGCCCGGATGTGAAGGCCACCAGCAATGATGACCTCTTGACGGCCCTTCGCAACAGCAGGAGCGACATGCGTTCTCTAAGCCCGGAAGGTGCGGTGGTCTTCCGGCTCTCCCGGCAGAACAATGCCCCACGCGTCAATGACGTCCTCCTCGATGCGACGGGCCCATTAGCTGAGCTCCATCTTCGAGTTCTAGAAGCGGGTTGCGAGGTGCGGGTGCCACACCAGGACTTGTCAGTCCGGTCACATTCCATCATCGCATCCATGACATAACATGTGCATCGGACGGTTGTTCATTGCATAGATTCGTTATCCAGTTTTGCGCTTGGATGTTCGTGCACTATCCACCGTGGACAGGTCGCACCGGAATGGTCGCCGGTGAAGGCCTTGTTTATTCCCGTGACGGAGGAGCAGATGCAGGAGTTGCTTCACTCGGACAGCCTCTCAGCTCAGGTAAAAAAACTCCAGGTTGGAGAACGGGCTCCAAACGATGAAATGACGAGAGCCTTTCAAAAGCCGAGTGCAGCCTTCCTTCAATAAGGTGGACACTACGAGCTCGGGAAGACACATATCTTGGCTCTCCTCTCGGACGGCGCCTTTATCGACCGTGCGCTGCGGCAGCTCCCGAAGATCACGCGGCCGAAGCTCCGGAGAGATATCCCAAGGGAGGATGCGGAAGGCAGGCTTTGAATGGTCGGTTTGTCTTTGCGGATCTGCCTGCGCAAAGTCTGAAATTGCCTACGCCAGGCGATGCCGAAACTGCGGAAGAAGAAGAAGAACATGGGCCCATGATCGTCCTGGAAGGAGGGCTCCGTACAGACTCCAGCGTGGGATTCCCGCCGAATCCGTGGCAGTCGGAGCAGTGAGCCTCTCCAGCGGGCTTGCTTTCTGATTTCTACAAGGTCTCATAATACTTTCCACGAACATTCCGACTTGTTGTGTATATGCGGGCTTCAACTTTAAACATCTTGCATGCAGAGAAGGTGGATGCTGATAGACTTACAAAGCCCTGTGGATGGCGGGGAACTGTGTAGGCTGCACACTTTCGTGTGCGCTCCCCAAGCTTTTGCGTACGACTTCTCAGTCATCGACATCGATGTATTATCAATGTATACCGTGTATACATGTGCCAGCGGCAGCTGTATTCACACTGTGTGTTACCCGATGCCAATCTTGTTCTAAACAGTTGTCGGAGGGGACTGCGTGACTGAGCACGAATGCCTTCAACATGGTTCTGCGTTGCAAGAGGCGAGACTCGTGTCACTAGGGTCTTGCTCGCCTTGGTGCACACCCTCTCTCCCGCTGCGCAGATCGTAGGTTGTAGATCTTCAGTTTTGCACTGCACTCGCAGGTGAGGAGAAGTATCCTTCAGCACAAGTCTGTGTGCATGGTTCTTGTGTTGTCGAATAAACACATTTCATATCATGCCTTCCTTTTCCTCACTTGTACCATCTATTGAGAAGGACACGGACTTGGCCCTTGCAAGTGCACAGCCCGGAGGGATCCCTCAGCTAGGGTCGTGCTTGCCTTGGCATGGGACCTCAATGGGCTCATCTTTCCAGAGGTGGAGAATGTAATCTGATAGCCTGATAGAGCCGTAGCTGTTACGATGTTCTTCGCCTGGGTGAAGGTCGAGGCTCCACCACCGAACTGATCGGTAACTCGTTGTCGATGTCATGTTGCTCAGCACCTGTCACGCCTCTGGGAATCGGGTCTCTGAGCGGTCCCAGACATTCACGAAATTGATGCCAGAGAGCATCGGATGACCGGAAGTGCCATTCGCACCGGCACCCGGATGCTAGGGTCTTGCTTGCCTTGGTGATTCGATGTAGGTGCATCGGTGCAACCGGCAATGGGTCGCAAAACGAGTTCAAGCGCGGTGCATCCCCCACTACTGTCACTAGAGCGCAGAATCAAGCATGCTTGTTGAGGTTGGCTTAAGTCCACAGAGGCAAACTAGGTTCGAGGCATGGGCAAGCTGCAAGGGAGTTGCTGAAGGGACCCAGGCCACCCACTCCCAGCACTGTCGCATGGCATGGTGCTGCACTGTGTGTAGTAGCCTTTCGCAGAGGTAGGGAGAATTGCTCCCCGGGAGCCCCGTCCCAGAAGTCACATGGCATAGCACGTGCACCGTGTACAGAATCATTCGGGCCCAACTCGTGCTGCACCTGCAGGACGCGAGGCGGAGCGAGCAAGTCTGAGCCTCGGCACTGCCGTCTGTTGAATAATCGATCTGCAGACGCCTGTAGAGGCCTGCAATGGTTAGATCTTGCGGTTCTGGGGTTGGTTTTTGATGGTATGCAGGAGTATACAATCATAGCCTGAATCTGTGAGGAGTCTGGATTGTTGGTAAAATGCACTACCAAGTTTAGTGGAAAAGAGGGTCCTGGCAATCAGTACACTACCTTCGCAGCATCAGGTTGAGGCTGCGGTATGGTTCGGACGAGCGTGACTTTGGAGGATTCGGGTTCTCCCCGTTTGTTGGGGTTGAGCTTCGGTCAGGGCTTATACACGCCTGAGTTTCTCGGAATGGAGCTGGGATTGGTCATATTTATAAGTGCAGTCCCCAATATACCCAATTTTCACATGACGTGATGTACCAGGAATGAGGGAGAAGCCTGATGCAGAACAAACGTTTCATGATTCCTCACAGTGGCTGCTTTCCTCATGCTGGCGGCTTGTCCTGTTGTGCAGGGCAGCAGGCTGGAACGACCCAAAGCCCTGAAAACCCTAAGCGTTGTACCCTCATCGACCCCATACGTTGCAGAGTCGTATATAGACCGTATAGAGACCTCGGGACCCTGGCATGAAGCGTTGTCTCGGATGCATGCCCACTTCCTGACCGACCACTCGCCTTCCAAAGGCATCCGGATGCAAAGCGCATCAGAGCGCTCTCCCGCGAGGGTCGGAAGAGATCTCCAGGTCAGGTCTGGGAGAGTTGGGGGCTATCTGAAGCCCAGAGGAGTCTGGTCTAAAGGAGAACTTTCCAGCAAGCATGGTCCTTGGAACCCATGGAGGGGTGCAACTCCTCAGAGGTCGGAGTTTCATTGTACCCAGATTGTACCGGACTTGAATCTCTAATAATATAGGTAATGGAGCAATGGTGGGTTCAGCAATCGTTTGTGGGTGAGGCGGGTTGTGTTGGGTTCGGGGCTGAGTGTTATTGGAAGGATGTTGACGGCTGCAGCTTGAAACCTTTGTTCGCGCGTACAATCTACTTACATCCGTGGACTGTCATTGGGACGTTCATTGACGGTATCAAGAGAAAGAACCGACAGAGAGACATGCGAAACGAAAGATAGACTCTTGTGCGGCCTTCGCGTGGTAAATTAAAGCACAGCAGAATGGGTGTTGTAAGAGCTTCTGGGTTATGTCGAGCTTTGGGCTTCTGTGTTTTCAGCAATCTTGAATGAATAAGTTCCTTCCCGACGGGCTGGCACAAGTTCCTCGGTATTGAAGGATTATGTGTTGTCCTGCGTGATGACTTTAAAGACATCTCAGTTGTGCAGTTTAGTCGGCGCAGTGTCATAGTTGAGTTTTTCGTTTGTGCATTAAATTGAAGTTTCCTCATATTCAGACTTATATGGGGGCTGCTTCGTTTGGTTTCAACGGCTCCCGAAGGCCTTGCTCACGTTCAGCTCGGAGTATAAATAAACAGGCTTCTGGGCAGTAGCTTTGGACCGGCGATCTCGATGTGCATTGCATGAAATGGTGTAGTATGCTCAGCTCGAGCCAGCCGAGACCTCTAGCTTCAGGCCTCCGTCACACGGTTTCTTGCGAAGTCACAGGCTGGCATATTTACCCAGGCTTCTCGAAACTCCATGCAGCCTTGCCATCAGGTGACGGAAAACCCGCATGCAGTGACACCTGCAGGCATCAGGCAACAGAGCACGTGGAACCTGTGAGCAACGCACCGTCTCGAGGCCCCGCACGGTGTTTTGACTCTCAAAGTCGTCAGGCTGACAATGGAAAGTTCGTGAGCCTCGGGCCGAAGCCGAGCTCTCGGTCCTTCCGGCTGTAAGCGCACATATACAGCCGGTTTTTCCAGGATGAAGATCATCCTCCAGGGCGCCGAGGGAGGGGTTGGGGCAGGTTTCGAGCTGTTGCTTGTGGGGAGTTGGAAGGCCATTCGATCAAAGGTTCAATATCTATTAAATCTATTTCGAATTCGTCTATATTTTGGGGGGAGGGGGGTGGTAGTTGCAGGTTGGTTGTTCCTCCACTTTCAGGTTTCGGGTTGACTCTGGCGAGAACCGACCATTTGCAGCACAAGAGACTGAGCTCGTAAGGAATCAGATGCACAAGATGTGAGGCTCCGGAGGCTTGGCAGAGGTCTGTAAAAGGGTCTTTGATGTCGACTCTTCTGCTGGGCCTTGCCGGCACCCTGCGGATGGATGTTTGCCCGAACATCCTGTAAGCATGTATGTCCCCCCAAGCCTGTAAACCCAAACCTCCGAAGCGCTTGAGGTCTTCCCCTCCACCGAAGGCTTCGACGATGCTGTACATGTGATGCTCAGCTTCAGCTTCCGTGTTGTCCTCTTCCGGCCCGATCCAGTGATCCAGTGCAAGAGTTCGGGGCTTTTTCTCAACTCCACTCCTTTGCTTCTGAGAGTCTGGTAGGCTCACAGTGAATCCACAGACGCTGCGGAGAGCTGCAAGTCCAAGAGGTCCCTTCTTCTCTTTCCGCGTCGCGGTTGTTCTCCTGGTATGGGTGCTGTAGGTTGTTGTCTCAGTGTTGTGTCAATGGGTTACAAAGTCGCATCTGCAAAGGTGGGCTCTTGCCACTATTATCAGTGTTATCAAGACTCTCTTTGCAGCACCGGGATCTCCGCCACGAATGCCAGGACAGCCGTCCCCTCCGCTTGAGTCGATTTCGGGCTTCGGCTGCGCCGGGAAGTGTGGACAGGACAGCTGGAGACCTCTGAGAGATGACGGACATTCTTGCCAAATATCCTAAGCTGAGAGCTTTCAGATGTACGTAGGGGCTCATGGAAAGTTTCATAGCACTGGACTTTTGCATCAGTTTCCCTCAACGGCAAGGCTCTCGATCTCAATTCGAGTAGTATACTACCTAGCGTTGGTTGTAGTTGCTTTGAGTTTGGAGTGCTCCCGTTCCCAATTTAACTTGAGACTTAGGTTCTACATACTGGAGTACTATCTACGTTTTTTTTCGGCGTGCATTTGTCTCGAATCGAAGTGTGCAGCAGCATCCTTTGCCTTCAGCAGCTGAAGTCCATGGAGAGATTCCTTCATCGCGGACGGGATGGGCGGATCCTGGACGTGGACGAATTTCAGGTGGCCAAAGCTCTGCTGGCGGGCGAAACGGAGCTCCTAAGCCAGGAAGTGGATTCCGAGGAACACCTCTTCGACTTGTGCTGTCGCTTCGGCCACGAAAGCACGGCTGCAGCCATGATTTCATACAGAGTGCCAGGGTGCGTCTTCAAGGGTTCCCACAGGTTGCGGCCTCCTGCTGTTGAACCTCCTGAACCACAAGCAGTCCTCGAACATTACTGGGATGTGTGCGAGTGCGAGTGCGAGGACTGGAATACTTGCGGAAGTTGCAGCTGGGGTAGTTCAGATGAACAGGGGGGCCTTTGGATGGAGAATTGGAATGCAAGTCTCCAGGATGCCAAGAACGCGGCAGAAAGCGCCGCTGCGATGCCGTTGGTTTGCGCCTTGCTGGAGGCCTTCGGCTCCCAGGTGGCTTCTCAACGAATCGCCACGGATGAAGCCATCGCCTACCTCCTCGACGTTGCCATCCTCATTGGTGATGCCGAGCTCGCCAGATCCTGTGCCAAGCACTGCACCCGCTTCCCGCTGAGGCGCTGGAGATTCCAAGAGTTTGTGAGGATCGTGGACGATGACTTCCCGTGTTTTCGAGCAGAGATTCTGGAGAAAGACGTCCTGATTGCGGCTTTGGCCGCCGGCCTGGAGCTCAAGCAGCTGACGAACAGTTCCCACGGCGATCCCGTTTCGCTTGCGGAAGCCGTGGTGCTTTCCGGAGACGCGGAGCTCTGGCAGCGAGTCGAAGGCCTTCAGCTGCAGCTCGGGCCCTGGCGAAAGCATGGATACGCAAACGACATGGCCGATTTTCTCCTCGAAAATTCCGGCGACCATCTCAGGATGAGCCCGGAGCGCCTGCATCGGGCCGAGAGGGCGGGGCTCGCTTTGAGCACGTTTCGGGCGCAGGTTGTCTTCCGCTGCCAGAGATGTGGCGACATCTGGTATTACTTCTCATTGCTGGACTTGGCGATCCTCCTTGGTCAAAGCGACTGCGCCCGACTCTGCGGGGCGATGGACATCGTGGCGACACAGAAGACACTGAAGGCGAGCCTTGAAGCGATGCCGCGGGTGTGCAAAATCTGTCGTTCTACCTCGTGGCGAATTCCCGATGAGTGGGCCATGAGCTTCGCATCGCTCCCGGAGCGCAGGGCTGCAGCAGCCGAGGCGCTTCACACGGCGCTGCAGGCATCCCGCCGAAAGACTGCAAGCTCTGCAGGCTTCGGGCTGTTCCAGTCCATGAGCAAATGGGCCCGTGGGAAGCGTGTGCCAAGAACGTTGGTGAAGTTGGTGCTGAGTTTTGCGGCAGAGCGACCATCGCTTCTGCAGGCCCTCGAGGGGCGTGAGGCTGAGCTTCCTTTCCTGAACTACTGGTGGGAAGAGTCGATGCACAGAGAGGGCGCAGATTCTCAGAGCCCCCAGCCGGATGCCGCGTCACAGGTGCAGGCTGAGAGTTTGGGTGTCACAGAAAGGCCGCCTGCGGGCGCCGCTGGCTCTTCTAGCAACGACGTGCAGGCACAGCCTGACAGCACAAGCGAGAAGGAAAGCGGCTCCGACCAGGACACCACAAACGATCTCCTCACGGCCCTCCGCAACAGCAAGAGCGACATGCCACCCCTCAGCCCGGAAGGTGCAGTGGTCTTCCGGCTCTCCCGGCAGAACAATGCCCCACGCGTCAATGGCATCCTCCTCGATGCCACGGGCCCACTGGCTGAGCTCCACCTTCGAGTGTTGGAAGCAGGTTGCGAGGTGCGGGTTCCACGCCATGACTCTCGAATCAATCACATGTACATCGGGAATTTTCTTAACTTTTCATTGTTGCTTTGGGTTTGCCGCTTGTCTGTTCGTTGATTATCCAATCCGACAGGTCGCACCGAAATGGTCGCCGGTAAAGGCCTTGTTTATTCCCGTGACGGAGCCGCAGATGCACGAATTGCTTCATCCAGAGAGCCTCTCAGCTCATAGAAAACTCCAGTCATTTTCTTGCGTGATATACCGTATCATGTGATATACCGTATCATATTTTTCTGATAGCAGACGGTTCCAGAACTATTTGGAGCCAAATGAATGCCCTTAGTCCCACGCGATGACATGACCAGAGTTGTTCAATCCATCAAAATCCCGGCATGTATATAAGGTGCCCACTACGAGCTGGGCAAGACGCACATCTTGGCCCTCCTTTCGGACCGTGACCTCATCGACGGAGCGCTGCGCCAGCTCCCGAAGATCACGCGGCCGAAGCTCCGGAGAGACACTCCGAAGGAGGATGCAGAAGGCAGGATTTGAATTTGAATGTTCGGTTTGTCTTCGCGGATCTGCCTGCACAAAGTCTGAAATGCCCCCCGCCAGGCGATGCCGAAGCTGCGGAAGAAGATGAAGAAGATGAGCCCATGATCGTCCTGGAAGGAGGGCTCCGTACAGACTCCAGCGTGGGATTCCCGCCGAATCCGTGGCAGTCGGGGCAGTGAGCATCTCCCGCTGAATTGCCTTCTACAGGGTCTTAATACTTTCCATGAACATTCCGACGTGGTTCAACTGACTATTTTCTAAGCGCAGAGAAAGTATGATGCTGATAGACTTACAAAGCCCTGTGGATGGCTGTGGCACATACGAAGACGACATGGGGTGTAATTCCTGTGCAGGCTGCCCTTTCGTGTGGGCTCCCCAAGCTTTTTGGTACGACTTCTCAGTCACTGATGCACTATTTTGTTATGTAAAGGGCAAGAAGCCAGTGCCAGCTAATTTTCACGTAGGTGTGTAATCGCAATCCAAGGTTTTAGCGAGCAGTTGTCGGAGGGGACTGAGTGACTGAGCACGAATGCCTTCAACATGATTCTGCGCTGCAAAAGGCGAGACAGGTGTCACTAGGGTCTCGCTCGCCTTGGTGCACACCCTCTCTCCCGCTGCGCAGCTCGTAGGTTGTAGATCTTCAGTTTTGCACTGCACTCGCAGGTGAGGAGAAGTATCCTCCAGCACAAGTCTGTGTGCTTGATTTCGCCCTGTACCAGTAGAATGATTACAGCTAGTCTATGTTGTCCTCTTCCCCACTTACTGTGATAACGGCACAGACTTGGCCCTTGCAAGTGCACGGCCCGGAGGGATCCCTCAGCCAGGGTCGTGCTTGCCTTGGCATGGGACCTCGCTGGGCTAATTTTTCCGGAGGCCGAGACTGCGACCTGATAGAGGGACTTGTGTGTATTCTGATTTCTGAATGCATGTCGATACCCCACCGCCCAAGTGATCGGCAACTCATCGTGCACGTCGCCTTCATGTTTGTCAAGCCTCCGGGAATCGGGTTTGAACCATCCCTGAAATTCATGGTTTTGATGCCAGACGCCTGAGAGCGTCGGATGGCCACCGGAAGTGCCACTTGCTCCAGCGCCCGGATGCTAGGGTCTGGCTTGCCTTGGAGATGTGGGTGCAGCGTTGCAACTGGCCGCGGGTCAAAAAGCAAGTATTGGAATGACGATGCTTTTCTGGAGCCTAGAAGATCCAAGTACATGTGCTTGCTGAGCTTCGTGGTATCGCAGCCTTTGTTGTTGGCAGATAAACTCTACAGGCCCCAAACCGCACTGAAAAATCATTCCCAAGCAGTCGCACTCTCACTCAACAGACCTCGAACCATATGACCATATGACTCGCCAGGATTGTCCGAGTGTGAGCATCGAAACCGCATTGACTTCAGAACATTTTCAGGCGGATATCGCTGCGTTGGATCACTGCTAACTACCAACTTTTGTCTGCAGGACACGAGGAGCGAGGAAGCCTGAGCCTCGGCTTGGGCTAATCTAGAATCAGAAATAGCGGATGTCGCTGGGTTTTTTTGGTATGTGTGTGTATATATATATATATATATATGTATGTACCTGTAGATGGGTTTGTAGTTCTTTTTTTGGTTTATGCCGAGAAACCAGAAAGTATTGGTTTCTGGATTTTTCTGTTGTTTTCATTGTTTGTGGTTTTCTTACATGTTGAGCATTTTGCTGAAAACAAACGGAATAACAAGTAAACGTGTTATCACAAGCACAGACATGACAGGATATGTGCTGTTGTTGTTGTTGTTGGGCCTGCAAGCAAACTCGATTGTTCCCACCCAAGGGTTGTTTTCGACATGAAACCCATGAAAGCCGAAATCAGGAATATATCACTTATAATGTCCATGTTTATTGCAGCCATCATTTATGATGTTTGTTGAGTTATTTGAATACATGTTCCTTTATCCATGCCTGAGACATGCATAGCTCGTACAACTGCAGACAACCTGAAGACTGCAATATGTTCAAGATTATAGCTGGCTTGACAGAAAGTGACACTCGCCTCATCATGTTTTCACACCAGCACTGGTGCTCACATGTGAAACTTCCAGGGCCGCCACTTGGACCAGGAATAAATGAGCCACCGTTGCGCTGTTCGGCGAGGAGCACCAAGTGCATGAGCAGCACGGGACATTCTGCTTGACACTCCCATGTAGTCTTCATCCATCTCAGTGGCAAAGCAAGCGGGGTTAAAACCCCATTCATGGCCCATGGACATCCGCAAGTCGTGCTCGATGTGCAACATGTAATGATATTTCGGGGTGATGTTAAAGAACAACCACCCCCGATCATGGCACTTCTTGGCTGCCATCGAGTAGTTCACCAAGAATCGGCCCAGGGATTTGCGAGCTGCCTCCATTTGTGCTTCATTCATCCAGATGCGTGCACACTGCTTGTAACACAACCGATGGAAGTCGTCTATGGCATAGAGCAGTTCAAACACATGTTGGGAGATCTCATCAAGAAGAAATGGACGGGACAAATAGTCTACCAGCCATTTCGTGAGCAAGCGTGCGTCCGAGCCTTTCCTCAGTTCAAACAGGGGGAAATATTGTTTGTATAGTGTCCTTTCACAACAAGTACAAACAAAGTTGTTTTGCTTTATTTCGGCAAGGAACCAAGAGGTATCTGGCAGCTTCGCTCTGGATGTCCACTGCAAGTTCTCACGTGTAAATGTTTTCACATCCGGTGTTTCATGCAATACAGCCTTGCAGTAGTGCCCAAAATCCTTGTATGCTTCTTTCAAGCATGCCGGCACCGATGTACCACCAACCAACGGTTGGAAATGGCCCATCGTGACCAAAAAGCATATCACAGATGCAACACAGGTCCTTGTAATGCCCAACTGTGAAATGTGGAACAGGTCCTTCGAGAGGAACCTAACATCTTCACCTCCTGGTAGATCATGAAGAGGACTCCTCGACATCCAAGGGGGTTGCTGGGAAATCGTTGCCCGCCAGGCTGCAGTCCTCCTGAAATCCCCGAATGGAATCTGTCTCCCATCCGCAAGGCACCAACTGCATATAGGGTTGGGGTCATTCGTATAATTGCGCCCTGAGTGGGACAGTTTGGCTTGGGCTGGCAAATCTCCTTCCAGACGGAGTATCACGATGTAGAACAGCCCCTGCCTTGAAGGCACACCATTCAAGTAGCAGTCCATCGCATCCTCCACGAAGTGTCTCATGAGACTGTCCAGGGTGTTGTTGCCTGCACCATAGCCAACATGGTCTTCCTGAATTAGCTGGCTACGACCTTACACTAGTCACACAATTTACATTCCACATAGCACTGAAACCACGAAAAAACTTGCTATGCTGCCACATGGACCTTGTAGTCATCTGCCAACATGGCTGTGTAAAAGAAACAGTGCAATGCACTTGCTGGCCCTGCCTTTATAATGGGGCCCCAACTCTGCTGATAGATGCCAGCTCGCCGGAATGAAGTCCCTTCATCAGCATGCATTCGGCAGGGTATGCAGCGGGACAAGTGCTGGGCATGAGTAGTGTAAACATCATGGTCAGGCCATGTGTGGCGGAATCGTCCCCAAAATTCGGATAAACCAGCTTCCACTTGTGCCATTTCCCTGTAGTCATGACCAAACATAAGCAGCTTTGGAAAATCTTGTAGAATCTCCGTGGCCAAGCTTCTCAAGGAAAGAACCGGATGCAGCCTTCTTCCATCTGGGAAATCAACATTCTTCAGGCTCACTTTTGTTGTCAATGTGAGCCCCAAAGCCTCAACATTGTTCACAAAGACAGTCTCTTTGTCGCTTGGCGATTGGTGAGCCAGTCCCAACTGAACGAGCGCACTGCGCCAAACATCCACCTCATTCATGGTGTTTGCATTCTGAAATGCAATTGCCGAAGCTTCAGCAGCATTGTGCGCCTTGGGCATCATGCAGATCTGCACATGACAAAAAAGCAAAGTCAGGCTTTCATAAGCTGGACCCTGTGCTCAAACAAACACATAATAGTTGACACACAATGCCGAAGGACGATGTAGGTCTGGAGCACATTCTCCACGACCTTTGCACCTGCGTGGGCAGCTTGCTGCGCTACATACATACATGTCTCTTTCTCTCAGTAGATTGCACATGTACTAGCATATGCAGGCATCCATACTTATATATACTCACATGAGGCAAGCAGGTCAGAGAGGCAAAGCCACATATACACACATGTCCAGTACACATACATGTACAACTATGTCTAAACAGGATGAGCTTATTATCGAATGGACAACAACATAAGTAACTCATTCGATATGCACACATGTGCTCATAGCTGTGTGTGCACATGTGCATTTCGATGATAGCACATGTGCCTCTACAGATGTGATTCAGGATTTGTGGTCGGTATGTTGTGTTGCTAGATATGCAGCACATACACACAGACCACTATCCAAATGGTGTGTACATATATATATATATACATATGTATGCACACATCTATCTATCGTTATACTTTTATGTGTATATACATGTCTGCACATATTATAAGTATAACATATAGTTATAGAAATAACAGTATATACACATGTAGATATATACTAATATATCATAACGGTGCAGATAAACATGGAGATACAGCACACTACAAACATACAAGGATATATAGCTTTGAGAAGTTATGTACCGATGCAAATATAGGTATACAGAAACCTGAAACTATGTTTGCATGTGTACATATATGTATGCATACATCAGATATACAGATACATGTATGAATATATGTATAAGTGTGTATACACATGTACGGTATATACAGAGGTGTGTTTACATATCTATATATATATGCATATATGTAACGTATATAGACACAGATGTGCACATGTGTGAATATATTGACCATGTTACATATAAATGTCAGAACAGTTGCACATGTAAACAAATACACACAAATCATGTCACAAAGGCATATATATATATATATACATACATACAAATGTATATATATATATATATTGCATCTAGGACGGGGCATCCTGATAAAGGGGTGGACATCGTTGCTTGTCTTGTATGCAGGTACACACTATTTATACATACATGCATAATACATATGTATATATATATATACATATATCACACATGCACAAGTCGTGCAGGTCAACAGAGGCACTATCCTCAGCAAGATCTTTTCTTCTCCATCTCATCAGCCACGGCGACGTGCGACACTACTGAGAGACACAGCTGAACTTCAAAAAATGCGCCATCCCACGAGAGCAGCAGCAGCCTCATTGTTGTGCATTTCCGTATGTGTACCCGATTACCCACATGCATGCTCCAGGAGATCTTGCACAGGGCCCACTCTGGCATTCTGCACAGAGAGACCGAACATGTTCAATTATCCAGTTCTGCTGCTTCTTCCTTGGGAGCCTTCGGCTTGGCCTTTCCCTTTGCCACCGTCTTGCGCAGAAAGGACCTGAAAAGCAAAGCAAACACAATTCAATGCAAACACACCTGCCCACTGATCAGTGACAGGTTGCCATGGTGGGTTGAATAAGCTTCTACAGACATCACTTGTTCTTGACATGCATGCAAAAAACATATATATATATATATACATATCATGTATACATATACATACAGAGATATATGGAGAGATACAAAGGCATACATGGGCATGGTAGGTTCTGCATCTCCGTGGGACTTTCTTTACTATGCATTATACCTGCTTTTAGCTGAAACCAGAAAGCCAACACATTTACAGTGACTACATGAAAGACACTTCCACAGTCCCATGAGCCCCAACCTTGGACAGGAATATGGCACATATTACCACATCATAGGTAGATATATAGGAAATCGGAAGCACACACAAAGTATAGAGAGTTGCTAAGCTTAATTTTTGTTCCAGATCTACACATAGAGATCTTGATGTATAGCTGCAACAATACATATACACTCAGTCAACACACTCAGATGCATGCAAGTGAATGTATTTTATATGTGTATATATATGTATACATATATGTCCAGAGGTGAATATGTCTAGAACACTAACACACATTCATGCATTCAAAGAATGAGCATCAGTCAAACTGCATACACTGGAGCCAGATGGCTTCCACTCCACCACGAAATTATTAAGCTTGAGACCTGCACGCATTGGCGGCATTCGTGAAGCGGAGCAGGGAATCCTTGATCTGGTTTGTCAAGTCATGGAAGTCCTTCTTGGACCTCAGCCATCACACCAAAACACATCCGAGCCTCCCCTCCACTCCCTAGCAACCTGAACTGAGAAGATCTTCATTCCTGCCACATGGCGCATGCTTCTGCTTCAACTCCTGGTCACAGAGGCCCTGGTACAGGTTGTTGAGGCAACCTTCAGTGAGCATGACCAGCAGACTTTCAATCAATCACCATCTTGATGCAACAACAGCATGATGACTAGAGCAAGCCCAGCAGCGCATCTCATCTTCCAGGCGCTTCAGATCATCCCTGGGAAACTGTGTACACAAGTCACTCCACAGCACACTGCAAGTGAGGGAGCACGAACAGGCACACAAACATCGCATGTTCTGTCTCACTGTGTCTGTGTCTCTTTCTCTCCTTTTCTCTCTCAAAGACAAATCTATCATTAAGCAAAAAAACTTTCATGTATACATGTATATATACATATATGTGTATATACATTATACATGTGTAGACATGTTGGCAAAATATAATTTTAAGGTACATGCAAACAGCCATGCATATCCATATGGAGTATATATATATATATGTATATAGATATATATGTATATATATGTGTGTATTACATGAATGTAGCAGACTCTCATGTAAGTTTAAAGTTGCCGACGGGTGGCTCATGACCTGTCGTCCCATCATCCTTGAGCTTGTCCTTGACCTCCCTGAGGTGGTTCTTCTTGGCCAAACATGCCTTCTTATACTTTGACAGGTAATCAGCAACAGTCTCCTCACCATCGATCTCCGGTAGGGCACCAGGTATCTTCTTCTTGCCGTCGATGGGCTTCTTCTCATCCTCATCCTCCATAATGAGGTCGCCCACACCCAGGCTCATGTCGAAGTTTTCATCAAAGGTGCCTAGCACAACATGTTTGCACATTGCTGCCTAGCTGACAGAAAAAATGATCTGGAGGGGAACCACCAACCTGCTGACTCGAGGATGCTTTCCAACTCACGAAGGCGTTCCGACCCCTGCCTGGGCATGTGTCAATATTGGCATAATTTCCAGCAGAATGTGAATGCAAACTGGATAAGATGCTTGCACCAACACTCAGCCGCATGTCTCATCACGATGAAGTGCAGCCCAAGCACTCCACCTTGTCACTCGTCTGAACGAGAAATTTTCTGATGCCCTCGTATGGGCATTTCTTGTATAGCTTGTTTTTTTCGCAGTGCGCTACGGCACCAAGCACCTTCTTCCTTAGATGGCTAAGAGGCACATGAAGCCAATATCAGTCTCACAGCACTCTCTCTTGACCACAAGGTAGTGCACATGCAGCCCACAGGACAGAAGCCATTGAACCACATGAGCATAAATGAAACCGTTTTCAATCAGATCTGCATGCCTAAACATTCACACAGTCCCTCAAAGCCAATAAATTATAAATGCTTCTAATACACACAGTAATTACAACCAAGGATTCAGGCACACCACATGATGACACATACATGCCATTCTCAGAAGCAGCAGCTCGGTTACACATTTGGTGCAAATCCCAGGCACTCAGGCCAACCCAGGGCGGTCATCTCCGCTGGAGTCAACCACTCGAACCCCTTCAGGGATTTCCTCCAGTCCTTGCTGAGCTGGCGGAGCTTGAACACAGCTTCCAGACGAGCCTCAAATCGAAGCACAGCCGAGGAATCAAACCATGATTGATGCAGTGAAGGGAGACATATGCAAATGCAGACGAAAGACAACATTCCCAGTGGAATTGTGGGGCTGGTAGCATTTCTCGATGAAGTCCTTGAGCAGCTTCTGCCTGATATAGCCTCCTGCACAAGGATGCACATGAGCCACCCACTTCCCTTTCAGAATACCTGTATGCAAGGATGCCCCATAAAGCTCAATGGCCAATACATGCCTTTATAGGTATGTATATATACATGTAGATATTCAGACACATATACATGGGCATATGTCTCATTTAGTTGCATCCGACGAGCATAGACAGACATAATTAAGCCTCATACCATAAAACTATACTTGCTTACTTTTGGACCCAATGCAGTCCTTCTGCCTGCAACAACCCCACTACCGATCCTCTGTAGTGTGCAGGCAGGCCAGTGCCATGCAGGTATACACACATGCGTAATATACATATATATATAGATATATAGATCTATATAATGTATACATATATGTGCATACATATACATATATATATATATATATATATTTCTTCTATATTACATTCATATTTCTGCTTCTTTCAACATGTCAGCAAGAAGCTCCACAAAGACACCTTCTCGTGTAGAAGAGCATACACACACAGTGGTAAGTAGTTTATGTATATGCAGATAGGAAAGAATATCACATTGATGTTTAATCATTGTGCTGTTACACAGCAGCATGCAAATGCAACATGGTGCACATGCACTCACCAACACCTCAAGACTTGAGGAAGTTAGCAGTTGC